TAGATAGGCGGGCGAAGGGCTCTTGGCTGCCGCAGGAAAACGGCTAACGGCCCGATACTAGTTCGGCACCCAGGGAACTCATTTGTCAGACCTGACCTACTTCCGAGGACTGGATGTTTTTCTGGGCGGCACCGTGAGGTCATTCTCCGGCACACGCGACCAGCCGTCACACCGGACAAGAAATGCGAGTGATCCCACTCCCTACTGTTATACAGACTGCAGGACATGGCCATGGGTTGAAAAGTTCACTGCACAGATTATTTACGGTAGTATCCAAAATCTTTACAAGCTTTTTCTAGGCTAAGAAAGTCTAGATAAGGCAACAGCAAGTAATTTTTATATTTTATGAATGACATCAGAGCGCGCATTAATTTTCGCCTGATTTTGGAAAAAAAAAACACAAGAAATTTGGTTGCCTTCTGACAGTGATCAACATGCTGAAAATGGGCAAAGATGTCTGTTGCTATTCCAGAACGTGGATGGCAGATAACTATGAAGAGAGGAGACAAGAAAAGGCTCTGAATAATAATATTTTGTTTCTTACTTTGTTGCAGTGATATGTGATGTTGGCTGTGTATATGTGAGATCATGTGAAGTTCCCACTGAATGAAAACCATTTGTACAATGATTGAGTCAAAATTTTAAAATCTAGGAACCTTGTTTTTTAGGCCCGCCTTTTTTTTTTTTAGCCCGCTCGCATTAGATTTGGAGTCTGCGGAAGATGTCATCCATAAAATTTACTTGCTGTGGCCTAAACATCATTCCTCCTGGAATCAGCCAACGTATCTATCATAAAGAATCTGGGACTTTTTACTTTTCACTGCTTTTGAAGGAGTAAAACCCAACAGTAGTAATGCAGGTATAAACCTTACTGTAGACCAGCAACGTAGTGTATGTATTCCTCATTATCTCGCACGTATACTCACTAAGTTTATGTATTATATTGCTGATGATCAGAAATACCTTTATTCATGCGACGACGGGCTAGGTACAGGTCAAAACTTAACAGACACATAACAAACGTATATAGAAAAGTGGAGACAAAAGACACACTACTTGACATAGACATACATACATAAGGAACATACAAGGGTACTATACTAGGCTAATACAAAGTGTTCTAGTTACTGAACTAATACAGAGTGGTCAACTTCTCGCTTTTTTGTACAATGGAAAATGTGAGAACAGATCATGTTTGTGATACAGGGCGCATCAAAAATATAAATTTGTCGTTTGCACTTATGGAAACTTGTATGGGAACTTCTCTCTGATGTGATTAAAAAGCACAGATCTTTCATTAGAATATAAAGTACAGTCTAAAATAAAGTGTTGTTTATCTTCTATTCTATTCATTTTACAGTATGGACAGAGTCTATTATCACCTACTCACTTGCAATTAGCCTACGGGCACGAATTTGCAATAATCTCGTGAATTTTAGCCTGGGTGTCAGGCATTTTACAACAGCTGTCCTTTCTACTAAACTACTGGACTCGTCTCATACAGGAACAAGAAATTGAAAGTATTAATATATATTTGTAAGTATTATTGCGCAAACGCTCTGTCACTGTTCCCTGATTCCACTCTCCTCACTTCTGACTAAACGTTCTACTATCAAGCCATACCCGTAGCCAGGATTTTGAATGGGGGGGGGGGTCTTCCCACTGCTTGAGGGGACCACGAGCGCCGTAGGCGCGAGGTTCCTAGGGGGTTCCGGGGGCATGCTCCCCGGAAAATTTTGAAACATAAACCTTCTTAAATGGCATTTCCTGCGTTTTTGAGGGGATTTTCAAGAAAAAATTAGAGTTAAATTTTTATTCAATGACAAAGGGAGCTGTTTTTCTACGATTCCAGTCCATCTTTTCAAGAAAAAATCTTGGACCTTTACATAAAAAGTGGACCAAAAAGTGGATCTTTACATAAAACGTGGACCAAAAAGTGGACCTTTACATAAAAAGTGGACCAAAAGTGGACCTTTTAGCCTTGTGGGGGGTTCTTCCGAACTTTTTATTACCTTCGACAAAAGGTTATTTTTGGTAGCGCCTGTTGCGTGTGTATGTATGTTGTTTAGCATAATAACTCAAGGAGCTGTGCCTTAACTTCAAACCAAAGACTTGAGAGGTGGATAGGTCTTGATGAGATCTCAAAATGATTGGACTTGAGGCTCCCATGCGGCTTGTTATGGTACTGCAGCTTTTCTATTTCGTGATCTGGACATGGAAGGGTATTTTGGACAGCAGATAGCCCATAGGCCATAGCTGTTAATTTTGTGCTCGGGAAGAAGTAACGTTTGGGCCCCTGAGCATCTTGGGCCTAGTGTGTTATGGACCTGACATCTAGGCTTGACCCAAGCTCTGGAAAGTTCGAACAGTCTGGCACCCCGGCTAAAGGGAATAAGGCCGGTCGATTTCTGTACGTGTCTACATGTAGGTTAGCTAAATGCTTTCTTTGCCAATATTCTGTCTGCTTCTGTGCACTTTTTCCATGAGAATCACCTGTGAAGTTAGAAATAACAAGAGACCGCATTTTCTCCGTGCAAAGCATACTGGGAAGAGCCAACCATAGTATCCTGGGGACGAGTCTTTTGAACGATAAAAAAAATTGAGTTTGAAGGGTGAAAAATTACACGGTGAAAATTAAGTTTTGAATGATGAAAATTTGAGTTTTAAAGGGTGAAAATTGGGTTTTGAAGGGTGAAAAATTGAGTTTTGAAGGGTGAAAATTGGGTTTTGAAGGGTGAAAATGGGTCTTGAACGGTGAAAACTGACGTGACCCGATAAAGCCTTGTTGAAGTTGTACCTTTGGTTTTTCGTACAATTTGAGGGATGCCACAGAGGAGACACAGCTGCGTCGATACGATACTGCCTGGTGACCATTCTCCACGGACCCACGGACCGGCTTTAGAATTTTTCGGCGCTGATCTTTTCAGACTTTCAGGCCTTTCTGATTACTGGCGACCTAATTGAAATCTCGAGCGTGTGGTCCAGGTTTTAAATATATACCAAACTCTTGAATAGCTGAGATGGGGGAGCCAAGACAGTCTCTCGGTGTTTCAGAAGGCTATTGGGTCCGGAGACCGTCTGTCGAGTTTGGTCGCTCGGTTAAACCAATTTGGGACCTGTGGAAATGTTGGCTACATATATGGAGTATTGTTAGCCTCTACCAGGCTTCGGGAGGCTGCTGGGAAGAGTAGAAATATAATCGGCCAAATATAGAGACTGCATGCCAGGGGAATTGGTGCTGCTGGAGATAACATTTTGCCGCTGTTGTATTCTCCAGCATGCTATATTTCTATTTGGCCGATTTCTACTCTCCAGCCGTATCCCAAAGCCTGGTAGAGGCTACAGTATTGTCACCAGCCTGTTTAATATAATAAGGCTGTTTGAGTGTGCGGGCCCTTTATGTTATGATTTAGCCCCTACAGTCTTTCTTTCAGCGTAGTGGTGTTCCTGTTGGCCCGGGGAGCACCCTGCGACATTAATAAATGAATGAAAAATTAAACTTGGACTTTGACCACAGCTATAACAGTGGCTTTACAAAAAAACACAGCCCCTCATAAAGCAGAAAATGATATCTCAGATGGTTATGAGTTTAAAAATTTTTCGGGGAGAATACCAGGCCACCTATTGTGGTCAATGCACGTCTTGCACTGCGGAAAGTTGTCCCTCTGTACCTGACCTGGCGTGTTACGCCGAAAGGCGGTTATACCGGCTATACAGATACAGATAGACCTCTACAGAGACAAATTCTGGTGAGAACCATGCTTCATCTAAGGCCACACCGACTTTATTTTTTGGATGACATCCTCTGAAGACCCCCAAACTAGTGCGCGCGGGCGAATAAAAAATAAAATTTCCGGCCAAAATAAAAATGCTACTAAACCACAGGAATCGATGGTATTGTGAATTTGCGGCAGTACTTAGCGACGTATACGACAAGCCGGCACGTGCTGGCTTTTTGAGCAATTTATGAATCGGCCACGGTACGTATACTAGTATACTGAGTTCTTGAGTCGTGGAGCTTCGGTAGCCTGGGTGCCATCCTCCAGAGTGACCACCGGCTCCGTATTGTCGCTAACTACCATGGACTACCCAGGCCTAGAGCCAGGCCAGAGGCTCCGTGGGCGTGATCTTTTTTTTTTTTTTTTGAGAGCAGGCGAAAATCAATGCGCACGCGGATATCATCCATAAAATTAAGGCGGTGTGGCCTAGTAAGCTACTGTGACATGTCGACCAGCACATGGTTTCCCCCGTCAGCCACAATCTTACCGGACACACCGGACGTGTTCTACATACTTCATCTGGTCTCCAGACGGCAGGCTTCCCGGGTTCACTCTACAGTCAGACCCACCAAACTTGGGCTTCTGTCGAAAGGTCAGGTCACGCTTTATTTGTGGTGTAAAGAACGGGTTAAATATGCTATATACTCTTTAACACCTCCTCTTTAGGGTGGTGGTTCGGGACCTCTCACACAGATTCAGTCCTGTAGCTCTGATAGCCATCGGTGACCCATATACCACATTTGTCACAACCACCATCATCCCTTACACACACACACACACACATATACAAGTATTTTATGGCTGGTATCCAGTCTGATCGTGGTCGGGGCCGCAAGAGCTCTGTCCCGCCAGCCTCACATAGGTTTCTCGGTGTGTATTTCACGAGAGATTAATTAGCCCTCCACGTTCGTGTTGGGGGAAAACCAAATCCCCAAGCATACTGTCTCTTATTAGCGTAACACTCCTAGCGGGACGGCCTGTTGCACTTGGCGGTGGAAGCTTTTAGAGGTCCCGCAGACACAGCTTGCCTGAACACCCCCAATCACGTAAGACTGGATACCAGGCTATTCTAGCGATTGTTCCTTTACACTTAACCACGATTGACCTTGCTTTGCAGGAGTCTAAAAGCCAACCACAGCCATCTAGCATCGATGTTCAACTAATCAGTTTAAAGTCTGGCAAACGAGGCTACATCACACCAAAACATTCAAGAAACCAATATCATTTTTACAGCACACGTTTTATTTGACCAACTCTTTACAAATCGTCAATTGGTCCACTGTGCACATTTCTGTCACCGAGTCCTACATATACAGTAGGAGCTAATCGGAAATTTAACTGCAAAACCTTTATCGTATATCGTTACACCATCTACACATTTCGTAAATCCCAGGCATTATAAGCCGGTTATGTTACTGATAACCATTTTAACCAGTCATGGTACACACTATCAATCTTATGCAGCAAGAGAGGTAGGCATGAGTCCCGTGCCACAGAGAAGCCCAAGACAGAAAAGAAAATCATACAAGTACAATTTCAGTTACCACAATTTTGCCCATTTACTTGCGATCAATTATTAGTATATTATAAAGGAAGGTAATTCACAAATGCTTCCATCATACAGTATACAGAACGACAACCGCTTAAAGAAGTTTTGGAATACATCCAACTTTTAGGTAAGACGTGGCTTGGGCACCAATGTGACTATGGGACTTTTCTAGAAATACACAGAATAAATGGGCCACCACAAAGGTAATGGTATAAAGGAAACGATTGTACATCCTTCCCCTTAAGACCGATTTCCGTGTGGTGACCGCATTTTGGAGAGGAATGATCGAGGAAGGTGTATATAAACAATTATTAACTCAATAAAATTGCTCTACAAGAAGCTATAATGTGTTACCCAATGGCTTACATTCAACATATACAGGCTCGTGAAACAGTTGTACATAGGCTTGCAGCTTTGAGTACATAACAACCAGACAGAACATCAACTGTATGACTGTGGTAACACAAAAGTAATGTTACTTTATATGAAAAACAAAAACATTTAACAACAAGAATTGTAGTTATACATATACACTTCGTGCCAAAGGTATGACATGGTGCTGTTGAAGACAGTGAAAACATAACGTTAAACTTTCAGAGTAAAATAGATACTCGACTCACATTCTGTTCAGGCACAGGGACGCTGGTATTGGTCTCTTGGATTTTGTTGGCCTGAATCTGTCCCTATTGTGTATCACGTACATTCGCAAGACAATCATGAAGATATATAGTATTGATAAGATATAACACTATTGATTACAATGTTGTTTACTATATGTAACATCACAATGAAAATGGGTATACAAAAAAATATTATGCTACACCATGCATTGCGAGAGCTAGCGCAAATACAGGACGCACAATTATACTGTTCAGTACGGTAAGTTACTATAGGAATAGTGTCACTTTTCTCCATCAAGTTACAGAATATCACACTTTACTGTGTAAAACAGAAGGGAAAAATCAAGCGTGTATACACAAAAAAATCTCTGGATATGTCGCCCATACGTGTACGCAAACACTTTGAAGAAAGATGTTAACAATGTACAGTGTTTCATCCAGCCATCAGAACGCGCATTTGCATTACGTAGGGAGCCTGTCTACAATTTACACAAAGAATCAACTAAAGTTCGCCCGAAAAATATAAAAGAGTCTAACATGACGTTTTGCAGCAACCTGCGAAAGTACACAAAGGACATATTTAACACATCAAGCTTACAATATCAAACACATAGTCGCTACCCTGTTGTTGACCTTTTTAGAGTCATTTTCCCACATCCAAGCACACTAACATTTACGAACTTTTCGCCCTGAGCTGAACAGAGACGACTTTCATAGCCACTAAACATGACGGAAAGCAAAATCTGACTACGTCTGGTAATGGGAAGGGTAATGGAACCAGTGTTAGGGGGAAGGGGGTTGTGTTTAGTGTTGCGGTAAGCTCTGGGACAAGCTGCTCTGGGCCATGGCGGTGCGCATGTTGCCAGTCATGATAGGGTAAGACACCAAACCTTGCTGCGCAACTGAAGCGATGGCCTGTGCCACAGACACGGGTAAGGTGCTACCTTGGTGGGAGATGGGGATGGCTGCTGCAGAAGCGGCGGCGGCGGCGTTAGGCCCGGACAGCAGGTCCTGGGCGAGCCCTCGCGACTGAGCGCTGTTGAGCTGCGTTACGCTCGGTGCTTGTGGAATCTGCGGGTTGGTTACGCTAGCATGGCTGATGGTGTGCGTGATGGCTTGTGAGATTATCCCGTGGTTATAGTTGGTGACGGGGAGGTTTTCGGAGCGAGGCGGGGTGCCGGACCGCTGCAGCGCCCGCTCGGTTCGGTAGCGTGCGTTCTGCTCGAGCAGGACTTCGTTAGTCGCTTGCAGGTCGGACACCTGCTTCTTCAACTCGTCGATCTTTCTGCGAAGCATGATGTTCTCGTCTTCCAGGAATCGGTAGTCCAGATGAGGGCGTGGTCGAGGAGGTTCGTAGTCGCGCTCCCGTTCACGGTAGTCGAAGTCCAGGTCGTCTCTACGCCGCTTCAGACGGAGGCGATCGTACTCGTAGTCGTCGTAGCGCGGTTCGTACGAGTCGTACCGGGAGGTGTAGGACGGCGAAGGGCGGCTCTGGTGCCAGGGAGTCGCGTGAACTCAATGGATAGTCGTACTCGTCTTGGGCCACATGGCGAAACTTACACTTGTTGCCACGGTGACATTCGTTCTTCAGAAGTCGCGGCAAATCGGTATGTCACCGCCTCCCAGCGACCCACCGCCGTTACTGGCTCCCAACCCGAGCATCCCGGGCCCGGCATTTCCCCCGCCACCGCCGGTCTGCTTCTGTAGACTAGACGGCAGCTCTCCCGTCTGCTTGAAGAAGTCCTCTTCTTCCTTAGTGCAGTGGATGAACTTGCAGTTGTTCCGATCACAGCCCTTGTTTTGGTAGTCGTGACAGAAGACGTAGGATTGCTTCTGTTGGCCGCCCACACCCCCTTCATCATCCGGGTGACGGTACTTGCACCGCTTACCTCGCCGGCAGACGTTCCGCAGAAAGTCACGGCAGATGTCATCATCCTTATTCTTATCACTCATGCTGACACTTCTAAAAGTTTCTACCTGTGTTCTTACGAATGTTAGGATATGCTTTAAGTCCTAGATAGGTACAGGTGTGCTACAAAGCTGGACAGTACTACTCAGCTGTCGCCTCGCCTAAGGGGCAATCTACGGGACTTTCCGACGCCACTTGCAGCTACACACACGGCAGGCCGAGGAAACTTCGCTGGCGCCGCTTTCGCCGCTTGAACTCTCGCGCTGGGATCCTCACTTCGACTTTGCCGCCCTGTCAGATTCTGCTTTGAGCTGCAAAAAGGCAAAACGAACTTGCAATGTACACTACAGCGTCTGTAACCGTTAGAAACAAATAAGCAAAAAAATATTCTCGCCGTTTACAGCTACGGTTAAACGTGACTACAACATAGTAAGAGTGTGGCAACTGTTTGAATACTGGCAATCGTCATTTATCTAGCGCATAAGTGATGTCCACATGGCCGTATTGACGGATCCACGTGTAAACGTGGAGCGGGATTATTTGCCTGATTCCAAAGGGACGGACATTTTTCGCATGCTTCCTTTGGGCGAAGAAACGTATACCAATGCAACAGAAAGAGCAAGCACCACAAACGAGAGTTTACAGCAATGTCTTATGCGGTAAGAGACGTATGGAAATAAGGTTTCAAAGAAGAAGTTATCCTGGTGGGATGCCAGACCCACAGCGCGAGACGATACTAATCTCTTCGGCCGGGGGAGCAACATGCCCCGCTCCCATAGTAGGCACCCTACCCCGGCGCGAGAGATAATTTGAGTTCCAACTAGAATTGTGTCCAATCTATCGTTTTGAGGCGGGTTCTCCTCGGCGCTGCAGGAGTTCTTCGTCGCCCGACTCAATTAGGCTACCCGGGAGATTTTGCACGGAAGCAAAATTGACACCGGGTGGACATTTGAGCTGGGCCTGGGAAAACTACTACAGCTCCGAAGAGAGCCCACTACAACCTCGATAAATGGACGCCGGGCTAACTGTCTCTGGTAGGGGGTGCGTGTTGAGGCAGCCGGCCGAAGAGATCGGCATCCTCTCGCGCTGTGGCACCCAGGCTGCGAAGTATGGAGATGGAATGATGTAAGGGACAGATGCAAGAGACAGGGAAGAGCGCTGATGAAGGTAAAATGGACCGGAAAATGTGAGCAAATATGCAGCCGTGACTCATGTTAACTTGGTGACCGAAAAGGTCGGAAAATGAACTATATGCCAACATGCCACCAATAGGTCAAGCATTGGTACGGAGCGAGATAGACGTGTAGGAGAGCTAGCAGCCAGAAATAATGGGTAGTCGCATTTACCGCGTACCTTGCGTTTCGCAACCGAGCGCTATCCTATCGGTCACCGCGCCAGGCGATATTTCCTAGCCAGGTTTGCTGCACTTTCCACCGGCAATGTTTTCAATCTGTCGAAGCAAGAGAAACAACATTGAAAGCAATGACCTTGATGTTAAAAATAACACGCTATTCACAGATCAATTAGTCTCGCAAACATGCAAACCGGCAGTATTCAAAAGAAACACATAAACCCGTCAATTCTTAATTTACCGCTAGCACACACTGACACAACATACTGATATCCTTTCGGCTGCGCTGAATGGGCCTCAAATACACTATCTCCCATCCGGTCACATATATGACTTACTGTTAATGCCGTCCCTAGCGACAATTTTCGGCTTGGGGACCAAGACCCGACTTAGGGAGGAACATGCAACGAATGCCAGGGAAGTTTGCCGGTCCAATTGTATTTTTGGGTTTTGCTGTTGTTTTATGCAAACGCCTATTTCTTTTCAAAGCATGCTGCGAGAGTTTAAGGGGTGAGCTATTCTAAACAATGACGCTCCCTTGCATCTGTCTCTTACCACTTTGAAACCCAGATCGCTTACAACAAGGAATCCAAAACACTGAAGAAGAGCAGGGCCCAAAGTTGCATAGCTAGGGTGGAGCTCTCATAGAAACAACTCAAGAGAAGATTCCAACGGTGAAATACTGGGAATCGGCTTACATGGACTTGAAACGCTTTAAAATGGGACGGGTCTGAAGCAACAAATGCCAATCGACCATATCAAGTAGAGCAATTTCTGACGGTACCCCACGGTGATAAATGGATATTCTTTGTAAATAAGCGGGAGGGGCACAAGTTGTAATTCATCACGGCACGTGGTGATGACGACTCACACAGCTGTGGCTGTCACTTTTTATTTTTTTAATGAGGTCGTAACACCACACTACGAAAACTTCACTCATCGACCACCAAATTTGTACAAGTAAATTAGCAGAGACACTTTCTTGGTCAAAAGGGCTGAATTTTCCTTCTGGGTGGCGTATTAGCATACATAGCATTGAAAAATCAGTGAAGGCATGGCAATTATTTATCCTTGTAATCATAGAACGATATACAGCTTGAGAAGGTTCAAGCTCCTATCAAAATCTTAACCTTTGCCTCTTTACCGCAAACTACTAGTTTACAATCTGTTGGGCCCTCCCTCCAAAATTGAGTATACAATTAACAACGTAAAATCAAAATTCTATACACCATAACTGCACAAAACCATGCATCAAGAAAAATTGTTTTCATTTCCTTCCCAATGGGACTGAGCATGGAAAACCAGCTTTTGAATGTCATGTTCTAACACGATCTAACATGATCCAAGTGACCTCTTTCTGACGCATCATCAAGAGCAGAGACGGGTCATACCGCCAACCAAGCAAGACTGAGCCTAGTTACATGGCATGTTTAGAATTAGCGTGGAAGTCACGTTGTTTATTTAACTTCTCTAACACCAGGCCACACTTCTCTGGGTTCTGACACGGCAAACTCGCGTTTGGGGACTACAGTTGTCCTTGTACATCGTGGGCGGTGCCTGCAAGAAGCTTCTGGTAGTAGGTGGTCTCTTAGAGTCAGACTCTCTATACAGTGACAAAAACATATCAACTAATGAAGTGCCAGTTTCTCAAAACTCTGTTTCCAACCGATTTGCTAGATTTACAATAAAGCTATTTATGGCTGTATATGGCTGCTATGTCATGGGGTTAGGCTACCCTGGAACATTATACCATTGCCCTAATTACCCAAAATGCAGACATCTCTACCACATATAATGATATAATGCAGCCCCTGTTGTACAGAGACCATAAGGGCCTCGATTTATGAGGCAAGCTTCTTTATGGTACTTTTACAGTCAATTACTTACGGAAACAAAATTGCAGTTCCGTAACTTCAGCAGTATACATACAAGTTTACTGAAAGTTATAAGCATTATCAAAATGCTTGCACTATACACAATGTGATGCATTAGCTATTCATCTCGTTGTACTGTGCCTATACTTCATAGACAAAAAAAAAAAAAAGAAATGAAATGATTTCTTTAAAAAAAGTTAAAGACATCATGCAGCCAATGTTTACACTCTCTGTACATAAACATAAACATGTACAGTGCACACAACATTCATTGAATTTCTGTATCTGCCTAGCCAGTATTACTTGTAGTTCAAGGCAGCAATTATTATCTGAAAAAAGTCTTTAAAAATTTAAATTTTCACTTCATGAGTTACCGGCTATAATTCTAAAATCTACTGAGTTGTACCTAACCAACATCTTTGAAAAGGCTGGGGGTTAACAACAGCTCTGAATGTAAACTCTGCTGATGGAACTAAGTCTGAAATGTACTAGTATGTTACATGTATGTTTCATGATTACATCCCTGACAAATCCATGGCACTCTAGCATGCAAACTATTTTTTACATACTAAATTATTCACTTTGTGAATTATTTAGTATGTAAAAAATAGTGGGTAAGTTCACTAAGTTGGTGAAAATTTAAGGCTTGTACATAGTTCCAATTTGTCAAAATACCACCTACACATTCAGGTTTGTGCATGTAAAATTGGAGCTGTGCAGGTATTTCTGTTTATCTGCACCTAACCTACGCCAGTCCATGTACTAAACAAGTGTACTAGTACTACTAGTAGGTGCATGTGAATTCTTATTTGCTGCATTCACTGTTCCCAGCTATGAAGTACAAGTATTAAAGAAAATAATGGCAATGGTTTCTGAACAGTTTTAGGGTGATCAATATTTCCTAAATTCTAAGTGGTGCAGGCAAAATTTGTCTGGTGCAGGTAGCTTTCAATGTTACCTTAATGCGCAGGTATGCAGGAAAAAATACTTCGAGCCCTAAATTACAATGCACTGGAAAGGCGAACTTACATTACAATTGTCATTTAGCCTCAGTACATGAAGATGCCCACAGGGCAATATCGGTCGTGACTGGCTGAATAAAAGTTCTAAACGGGGACTATTAGTATGCAGCTTAAGATGTCTTACAGAGGGACGACTGTGGGTGCGAGATGTTAGTTAGCTTGAGGAATGAATCTACTATATATCAAGCCCTGAATAAAAAAAAAATTATAAGCTTGTAAGATGCAGTCTTGCTGAAGGAATGCAGAATACTATGAAATATTATTGTTCAACAGGCCCAAATGTATGATGTAAACTCAACCCCCTGGCCTGGGACAAAGAACAGTAATTATCACTAGTAGCCCCACCTTCCTGTGTTAACTATCTGTACATACTAGTAGTCAATCAGGGAACAGCTGAAGAGGAGCAAGGGTGCTGCTATCTTTCCTACAACAAATTCCTAAATCTTTAGCATGTGTGTGTAGATAAATACACATACACCTACATATATAACAGTATAGTATTGTAAGTAGCAATAGTAGTACACCCCATTCCAACAACTTTTTGACTTACAGTATTATAAGTAGGATTGCTATTTTTTTAATGAACTGGACTTAGCATTATTTCTGAAAGAATATTCCACTGCGATATTTAATTTAAGAGTTATAGAAAAATTTTTAACCTGATCTGTTTTCTACTTACTTCTACTGGCAAATGTACATCATAATGGTGAAATCTGTGAGAGTTAATTCGCTTGCATAATTTGCTGTACAGCGCCGCCGCCATGTTCTTGTCTTACAGACACGAAAAATAGTTCCGAAAACAAATAATTTGCTTGAGCGAAGGAATGAGTAATAGAAAGCCTAATACAGATTTAACGCAGCTTCTGCCTCTTTCTCTAAATGAAGATGCTTCTTTGTCTCAGATAATAAGATTATATGCTTGGCATAATTTTTTTAAAGCTATGAACTTGCTGGATCAACGCTTGCACTTACGCACGCACACACCTTGCCCCCTGCAGTGGCCCCTTTATGATTTACATGCAGACATTTGCAGCGTTCTAAGCAAGGGTAGCAGCGCATAAATGAAGTCACACACACTCGTGGTTAGATATCGTACTTTCTATAAACACTAGGTTTAGTGTAGATATGCTAACGCTGCGCAGAACGAGTTAACAACACCCTAACAAGAACAGAGTGAGTTCCGCGTACCGTGTACACACGTAGACAAGCTCAGTTTTCTGCAACACTTCCTCACAACACTTACGCCTATGTTCAGCTCGCGCGGGACCGTAAAAAACCGCCAGTGCAAGTCCAGACTGTTCAGGTGACGTTTCTCTTGAGGTTTCCTGTCAGTGGCCGTGCCCAAAGGACAAACTCTGAGGAAAACCTTGACCGCAGACGATGTTTCTGACCGACGGCGTTCTCTTGAGCTCGTCCCTCCGGCCAAGCCAAGCTATATTTTGCACACAGCACGCTATCTACCTTAGACCCCAATGTACCTTCATCAGACTCAAATTTACACAAATAAAATCACATTTTTAAACACATAAGATCCGTAACATGTCTTTTCCTGTCAAATTTTCGTATTTGATAAAGTCTTTAGGTAAAGGAATAAAAAATTTAGGCAAACCCCTGTAATTTTAAACGGCATCACAGACCGGGGTAAGCAAGTGACGTAGGCATAGTTTCGCGCCAGAATATGACCTTTGACCCAGAAGCACTTCTAGGTCAGGCAGCATGGATCGTTGCGACAGTTTTACTTCCGATTGTGCAAGAATTTTCGATTATTGACCAATATTAGAGCAGGTTATGCAAGACAGTTCTGTATAAAACTTTCAGGAAGTAGTTGAGTCACAGAACTCACTACTGGTGTGTAAGTTGGTAGCAATGGAAGCGTCTGGAAACGTTCCCACAGGTAATATTATATTTTACCATAACATCATAATTATCATAATTGAAAATATGCTGCAGCACAAGTAATTATTTTTATGACTTCCATGTACAGACTATCTAGCTGTTATACCAATGGCGACTATTCCTCACATAGAGGAAATACTGAGCGTCTGCTCGGGGGAGGGGGGTGTGACTGGGTAGATAAATTCAGGAAGGAAGACAATGCTAAACGGTAAATTGACTTATTCTTAGAAAATGTTTTGGGGGAACTAGGTGATTGTTACATTTTATTCATTATTATCTGTATAGCTGGTATAACAGCTGTGCTTTAACCAAGGACATTATAATATCCTTGACTTAACACACCCCAAACCTTTTGCAGGCATGCAGTGTGGCAACACCTGGTTATACCATAGTACAGTTATCTGGTTATATTGGCTATACAGATACAGTGAATGACCTGTCACACCTGTAACAGTTGGTTCACGTACCATCAGCTGGCCAGTCTAACAGGTCCAGACCTTTTAGCCTTGCGGTTAGTGCTTTTGGTTCATGAGCTGGCGGCCTGTATCCTGTATACCACACACCCCTAAAATGTGTTTCAGTGGTTCCTACGCCGGGAATCAAACCCAGGCCTTGGTACCCACTCTCGTAGTGTAACTGCACAAGTCATCTGGTTTCTGTGTGACACTTACGGGAGATGCCCGGTTTCCCGGTGTAAATGTTTAACAGCTTGAAATACAATGTGTCCCTCCTTGGCCACCATGTGCGCAATAACTTTGCAGGTGGCCTGTCTTATACATTTTTTTTTTATATTCCAACATATAATCACAAAACGTGGTGATGGCACACTCAATTTTTTAAAAAACTTATATTAATGCTTTCACCAACCCGGGACAATACAATACTAGTACTCATTTCCACCTGAGTGAAGTGAGGAAAGTCGTGTAAAGTGCCTTTCGCAAGGGCACAAGATCGGTGGCATGTCAGGAGTCGAACCCAGGACCTCTTGGTTCCGAGTTGAGCACTCTGACTTAATGAACAGCTTGTGATGACATCAACCTGAAATATTGATCGGCAACCTAGCTTTCGGGTTAGGTTGCCTAGTGAGCAATCTGAGAAAAATTATTTCGAACCCTGACTTGTTAATGTTTTATTTTCAGATCTTGTACTTGTGTGTATCCCATATTTTGGTAATACATGTACTGGTATTGTTCAATGCAGGTGATGGAAAGAAACAGCCAGACTCGCAGGAATTTCAACAACAGCAGAGTCAACACCCAGCAGCCAGGGGCAGGGGCAGAGGATGGAGGGAACGTGGGAGAGGAGAAAGGAGAGGACAAGGAAAGAGTGACCGAGAACAAAGAGAAAACACAGGCAGCAGGCACAGAAAAAACACCCAGAAGCCCAGGGATACAAGAGAGAAGCAGACTTCTTCGGAAAAAGTTGGAAAGAAATCAGACAACTTTTTACCACAAGGAGCGGAGGGTCAAACATCCGATTCTTCAGGAAAACAAGTCACAGCCAAAGATATCGGTGACTTGCTACATGCTATTGATAATATCAATGCAAAGGGTGGGAAGCAAAATATAGCGCACCCAACCAGCCAATCACAGTTTGAGAGACATGGGTCAGCCTTTGGAGGAAGAGACAAGAGGCCTGATAGGTCAGGTGCAGATAGAGATAGCTGGAAAGATAGACCTCACAGTGGTAGAGACTACAACAGAGGCAAAACTTCAAACTATAAAGACTATCCACCAGAAGATACAACACATTACATGCCGAAGCAAAGAAAAGAGAAGAGAGAGAGGAACTTTGTTTCAGGAAGGGAAAACACAGTAAATGACTTCCCTGTAGTGTTACAAGGTGTTAGATATGAAAGAGGACAACAGAATGAGATAGATAAAGGTGCAAGAGGAGGATTTGCGAGTGATTTTGAGAGACGTTCTTGGAGAGGTGAGTCCAGACAGAAGTGGCAGAGAGATGACGTAGGTGGGAGGGCAGCAGGGAAGAGGAGGGAGAAGATGAAGAAACTGGACCCAGAGTCACAGACAGGTTGGTTTTTAATCTGTAAATAATTTCATCAGGTTGGTAAATAAATGAATAGCAAAGTTCTTTGATCACAACCATTTATTTTTCAAGTAACATCTAGTGTCAGTACACTGAGTAAACCAGGCAGAATTACCCTGATGGAGATGTCAGACGGTCATTGAAACGTCTGCTCATGAAAAATAAATTGTTGTGATCAAAGAACTTTGCTATTTAGGTTTTTTTTTTTGCATGAATAAAACCAGCCTTTTGTATATTTTTTCCTATACAAATTTAAATGTTCTTTCTAGCACCTCTCACTTATTCAGAACCTTATGCAAACACCAGTCAGTCAACCACCTGCCACCTGTGGCCAAACCCCCAGCCACACCTGAATATTTGCAACATTTTGAAACATTTTCAAACATTTAGCTGGTGCAGCGGAACAGTAGGCCAACCTTGCTCCCAACTTACTCCTAACCATAGTTGGGGGGAGTTTGACAGTGTTTCGGAGGGTACTGTATATTCCGTATTGGGCTATATGTGTGTTACAATAGCTTAAATCATAACACCAAAGCATCAGTTATATCAGCCACTATACTTGTAGTTGTATATAACTGTTTTGTACCCTGATTTGGTTCTCCCTGCCTTAATTTTCCAGCCTCCCTGATTGAGCAGCTCCAGACCAACACCTACGAGTGCATGGTGTGCTGTGATGTCATCAAGAGGGAGGCTCCGCTCTGGAGCTGCAAGAATTGCTTTCACATGTTCCACCTGAGGTATGTACTTCTAATCTTTCACATGTTCCACCTGCCGTATGTGCTTCTAATCTTTCACATGTTCCACCTGTGGTATGTGCTTCTAATCTTTCACATGTTCCACCTGCGGTATGTGCTTTTAGAATTTCACGTGTTCCACCTGCGGCATGTGCTTCTAATCTTTCACATGTTCCACCTGCGGTATGTGCTTCTGATCTTTCACATGCATATTCCACCTGCGGTAGGTGCTTCTAATCTTTCACATGTTCCACCTGCAGTATGTGCTTCTAATCTTTCACATGTTCCACCTGCCGTTTGTGCTTCTAATCTTTCACATGTTCCACCTGCAGTCTGTACTTCTAATCTTTCACATGTTCCACCTGTGGTATGTGCTTCTAATCTTTCACATGTTCCATCTGCAGTATGTGCTTCTAATCTTTCACATGTTCCACCTGCGGTATGTGCTTCTAATCTTTCACTTGTTCCACTTGTGGTATGAACTTCTAGTCTTTCACATGTTCCCCCTGTGGTATGTGCTTTTAATCTTTCATGTGTTCCACCTGCGGTATGTGCCTCTAGATCTGTCACATGTTCCACCTGCAGCATGTACTTCTAATCTTTCACATGTTATACCTGCAGTATTTAGTCATCTTTCACCATTCCACCTGTGATACATACTTCTAATCTTTCACATGTTCCACCTGCTTTCTTTCACAATCACATGTTCCACTTGTTGTAGTACATGTATAATGTATATGTCTGTATATGCATATTTTTCACCTGCGGTATGTACTTCCAAACTTTGATGACATATTCCACCTGCGTTATGCTCTACCAAACTTTCACATGTTTCACCTGCGGTATGTACTTCTAATCTTTCACATTTTCCACCCGCGGTATGACCTTGAACTACTTGTAATCTTTCACATGTTCCACCTGCATCATGTACTTCGAAACTTTTCACATGTACTGACTGTACATGTATCTGTGTCCTACAGATGTATAAAGAAGTGGGCCCACTCCCCTGCTGCCACACTGGAAGGTGAGGAGAGAGGCTGGAGATGTCCTGCCTGTCAGAACGTCACCCACAAAGTACCCAACGCTTACAAGTGCTTCTGTGGTAGGTTGTCATTTACTACTAGCATGAAATGTTATTCATGCATTTATTCAAGGCCCAAAATTCATTTTTGGGAATAGGTGCACTGGTGCACCCAACCTAAAAAATTAAGTGCACAAAAAATATTTTGGGTGCACCATATAAAATGAAATAAGTCATGCCCGTAGCCTTGATTTTGAATGGGGGGGTTCTTCCCACTGCTTTTGAAATTTTGACAAATGAATCTTCTGAAATGGCATTTCCTGCGTTTTTAGAGGTTTGCAAAGAAAAAATCAGAGATACCTTTTTCAATGACAGAGTGAGCCGTTTTCCTACGATTCCAGCTTCGCTGGTGACACGAATCAGTCCGTCTTTTAAAGAAAAATCTTGTACCTTTAGATAAAAAGTGGACAGTAGAATGTCAGCAAAAACTAATATGTTTCATTTCTAAAGAAAAGAACTACAACGATGATTTTATTATTTTTCTGACACTTGGATGTTAATCAAATCAAATCAAATTTTATTCAGTAAGGCTCTCGCGGGCGAATACCCGAATTTCGTCCTTATTACAGTTAAAGATACACTGTATACCACAATGTAATACATTTAACATCTTTTTATGATACAAAAACCTAAGAAAACATTTCAGTGCACTGGTGCACCCACAGAAAAAAAATTGGGTTGAACTTCCCAGCTCCAAATTTGTGTGCACTAAATTGTAAATAAGGTGCACATGCACCCAGTATTTCCAGCCCTGCATTTATTGAAAATTTTAGGGTGGCAAAACAAATCCATTTTTGTGGTCACTCTTTTATTGTTGTAAGTTAAATCAACTCTATCCCCTAGCATACTGATATCTGTTGCTGAGGGAGTACAGTTGCTTGTTTTGTACAGTAGGCTGGTTCTAGCTCTTTGTTGGTGGCACCAAAAAATAAAGATTCCTTGCATAACTTGTTTTTAGGTTATTTCAAACACTTAAACTAGCGTGCGTAGTCCAGTGGTTAGCGATCCTGCCTCTGGACTAAGAGGTTGGGAGTTCGAATCCCGACTGTTGTCGCTCACCCGACATGCACGCTACTGTTTAGGATCGCAGTCCTTAGGATGGGACGTTAAGCCGTGGTCCACTGTTCATTGTGCTTGTCGAAAAAGAGCTAGGAGAATTTCCCCGGTACAATGAACCTGTAAATACTGTACATAGCGTCTGTCTTCTCTGTCACGACCAGTGGAAGATTAGCTCTTCAGTGAGCTAAACTGGTTCGAGATCACTTTCACTTTCACTTTTTATGAAATGATGAATAAATGTGCTAAGGAATGGCAGTAAATATAAATAATAGTTTTTGTCATGTTGAATATTTTTTGTTATATATGCTGCCCTGAAATTGCATTGGATGCCTTTAACATAATAATATGTAACATGAAATTCAATATATGAACACTTAAACCTAGTACATGTTGCAGGGCTCAAAATACTGGGTGCATGTGCACCTTAGTGCACCCAAAATTGGAGCTGTGCACCAAATTCTTTTCTGTGTGCACCCAAATATTTTGTAGGTATTTTTGTACATAATAGTATGCAGGATATTCTTGGCATCTAAGCGTAAGAAAAATAATAAAATCTTAGTTGTTGTACTTGTGTAAGATTTTGTGTAAGTTAGCTCCCATTTCAGATCCAAGCTTAGAAGAGGAGCATTAGATTAAGATCTGTAATTAGGTTTTGTTTTATTTGGTGCATCCCAAAAGAATATTTCTGCACCTAATTTTTTATGTTGGGTGCACCGGTGCAGCTATTCCCAAAAATGAATTTCGAGCCCTGCTGTTGTAAGCTGACCACATTTTTCAACCCATTTATTATATATATTATAATAATATTTCCTCATACTATATAGTCATAGACACAACCATCGAACTTATTCAGCATATAATGTGCACATTCAAGAATTAATTAATTCATTATTCCTGAAATAGCTACCTTAAAGAAGACAAAACTCTTCTTCAAAATTTTGTAGTCTTTCAGTAAACATAGTGATTTTGATTAAAGTTTTTACTGATCATATTGCTATAGAATAAATACTTATTTTTGAATTTGTCAGTCAAACCTGGTCTCACTCAAGAACTGAGGAGTAACTAGAGAGGCCGACATTTGCTCGGGAGCAAATGCAGCAAATGGCTTCACCACATTCTTCATACCAAAAATAGACCTTTCCCCCCCTCCCGCACAAATAGATTATTCCACCACATACATCAAGCGAAGCCATGAATATTTGAGAAGGTGTGGTTGCACCAGACAAAAGGGTTGGTTGGCTGGATGATATGGTAATTAGATTTACTGTAAATCACTTTATATTTGTGGTAGCAAAATTTCGTGGTCTTAGAAAAATGACATATGTGGAACTAAATGTTCACAGTGGTGGCAGGTGCAGAGGAAAGAAAGCAAATTGTTTTTTGCGGTAATGATAAATTCGCAGTACAACAGTGACCGCGAAAACCACAAATATAAATATTTTTTTGCAAAAGAACCGTGATGTACACATTGTAACTGTTGTGAGGTAGGGCATGTATTTGTTTTTGTTCAGGGTCCTTAACCTATGACCTTACCCACAATTCCTAATATGCTATAATAGGGCCTAAATAAGATATGTGTTAGTATAGTGCAGGTAAAATTGGAGCTGTGAAGGTATTTTTTAATGACTACCTGCACCTAACCTGCACTGGTCATGTATTGGATGTATGTCTATTATAATAGGTGGATTTTTATTTCAAGAATGTCTGGTAGTGGTACCTGTTGCAACCACATTTTTAATATAATGGCAACGGTTTCTGAACAGTTTTAGTTTGACCCATACTTCCCCAATTCTGAGTGGTACAGGTAAAATGTTGTGTTTCCTGTTTACCAACAAACCCTAAAAAATAAAAAAACTGCCGACCCCAGCCTTTTTTGGGGTGGACCCCTGCAAGGGACAATATTTCGAGCTGACTGAACTTTTCTAGCTGTATGATCTGACACCTTAGTAATAAAACATTACACAATCAGTTTTCCAACATTGACAATGAAAATAAATTTAAGTGTCCTCATGCAAGTTTTACTTTGTTAAACTGTACTGTATGTACCTGTGATGGTTTTGCAGAGAAAGTCTGGGAGCCGGACTATGTAACATGTATCTGTGATGTTTTACAGAGAAAGTCTGGGAGCCGGACTATGTAACATGTACCTGTGATGTTTTACAGAGAAAGTCTGGGAGCCGGACTATGTAACATGTACCTGTGATGTTTTACAGAGAAAGTCTGGGAGCCGGACTATGTAACATGTACCTGTGATGTTTTGCAGAGAAAGTCTGGGAGCCGGACTACATGTATGTAACATGTACCTGTGATGTTTTACAGAGAAAGTCTGGGAGCCGGACTATGTAACATGTACCTGTGATGTTTTACAGAGAAAGTCTGGGAGCCGGACTACATGTATGTAACATGTACCTGTGATGTTTTTACAGAGAAAGTCTGGGAGCCGGACTATATGTAACATGTACCTGTGATGTTTTTACAGAGAAAGTCTGGGAGCCAGACTATGTTCGTAATGAGACCCCCCACTCCTGTGGTGATGTCTGTGGGAAGAAGAAGGAAAAGGACTGTCCTCATCTCTGTACCATGTAAGATACACAACTCTACTTTTCCATTCATATACACTGTATATCTGTAAAACATGCAAACTGTTCTCTTATGAGTAGGTGATATAATTACTACTAGTAATGCTTTATGTACTAGTATTGCTAGTACACAGTTCAGCAACATAAGTACACCTTAGTGCACCCAGATTTGGAGCTGTGCACCCAATTTGTTTCTGTGGGTGCACCAGTGCACCCAAATATTTTCTTAGGTTTTTGTATGTAAAGAATAAAAAGATGTTAAATGTGTATACTTAACATCCAAGTGTTAGAAAATAATAAAATTATTGTAGTGGTAACTGTTGTACAATGTAGTACTTTTCTTTACAAATGAAATATAATATAGTTTTTGCTGACATTATACTTACATGTACATGTGTATTTCATTTTATATGGTGCACTCAAAATATTTTTTGAGCACCCTATTTTTTAGGTTGGGTGCACAAGTGCACCTATTCCCAAAAAATGAATTTCGAGCCCTGTGAAAAGTGTATGTAGTCTGTAAGGGTCAGTAATGATGTTGTTCGTCCCTGTTGTCAGGTTGTGCCATCCTGGTCCCTGTCCACCCTGCCCTGTCATGGTCACCAAGTCATGTGACTGTGGGAAAACAAAGTAAGTACACCTCTGACTTTCACATTGTTTTCACACTAGAGGTGGGTATATACATGTACGTAGTGGTGTGTACCAGTTTGCTGGACCAGTTCCGGACTTGTAAAAATGTTTAGGTTCAAGTCCGAAAAAACCTAAAAGGCAAGAACCGATACCGGACTTACTAAAAAAAACCCATGTCACATACCCCTTTTCTTTCCAAACAACCTAAAACCATCCGTAGATTGCAAAATCTGTGCTGAAAAATGTGAAAACATTGCCATCGGGCATCGTCAAGTGTCGGCCTCCATGTTATGTGGCCACAGTTTTGCCCAAACAACATTGCAAGGTTGCCGACATGCAATTTTGCATATGCCATGGGTTTAGGTCCGGAACTGAACCTAAACCTCTGGACTTGAATCCGGACTTGTACCTAAATGTGGGTTTTACACAGCGCTAGAGGTGGGTACTAGTTCCAGGTCCAGGTTCAGATTATAGTAACAGTACTTGTACTACATGTATCATGTTTTGGAGAGTACGACAGGTCAAATTGTGTTTGAATTGTATATACTGAAATGATAATTTTTTTATTTACTTCCTAGGCACAAGCATATGAATTTAGGATAATCTTGGTCCATTCGGAATTATGTTGTTACCTTTTATGTATAATCTAATAAGAATCTGATGTCATAATAGAAATGTCTCTATTATCTTTGTTAGGAGTCTAAAAATAGTTGCATGACTAGTGCTGTGTACCTAAACCCATGTTCAGGTCCGGATTCAAGTCCAGAGGTTTAGGTTCAGTTCCGGACTTAAACCCAGGGCATGTACATTGTACAAAATATGGAGTGGACATTTCCCAATGGATGATAGGGTATCTTTACCACAAAATTTTGTAATGAGCACTGCACTACCAGGGTTTAGAAGCAAGATACGTTGTTTGCGGGGCATGTCTGGGCAAAACTCAGGCCACCAAATCTACTGAGGCTGTAACTTGACGATGCCCAATGGCAATGTTTTTTTTTCTTTTTGCACCACAAAGATTTCAGGTGGTTTAGAACAAAAAGGGAATCTGACATGATTCTTTTTTGTAAGTCTAGAACTAGCTCCAGATGTTCAGTTTTTTTGGACTTGAACCTAAACATTTTTACAAGTCCTTAACTAGTTCCAGCAAACCAGTACACAGCACTAGTCACAAATTTCAGTTTTGATGGACCTGAAGGACAGCAGAACTGGTACTCACTGGTTTTGCATACACACACTTGTAACTTTCTTTTTAATGACTTTTGCAATAATTTCAGCTACCACATGACAATTGACATTGACTGAAAACAAAAGATATCCATGGCTTGCTTGATGCCTTTACATATACATAATGTATTATGTACTACAATTTATTTATGATAAATAAGTTTTATTTAATTCATAAATTTTTACATTATAATATGTATTTTTATTGAAACAGAGTCTACAGACTTCACTTTGTAACAGACTGTTATATTTATTTGACATTTGAGAATTGAAAGAGAATGTTTAGTTTTATTAAGGTTTTGCTTACATTACTGACATACATTTTGTAGACAGATGCACATTAAAAGATTAATGGGAATTTTGAAATCGTTAAGAATGTTAAGTCATAATACAGCTGGGCTCTTCTTTAAAAGTACCAGACACATTAATGTATAACCTAGGTACAGAAAAAAACACACTACATTTGTGCTTTATCAACAAATCTGCTGTTTTAGGACAGGTTAAGTTCTTGTACAATTGGTCAAATTATATTTTTTACAACACCAAACTGATAGTCTAAACATTCAATGTGAGGTCCCAAGTTCAAAAATAAGGTTCAAATTTAGCTAAAGGCCGTAGACAACTTTGAATTGAGTCACGTTTGATACCCAAATACATACATTGAACGTGAACTTGATATGGACATAAACTGTGGAATTGGTCAAATTATTCTTTTTACAACACCAAACTTGAGCCAAAATGATAGTCTAAACATTCAACGCAGGGTCCCAAGTTCAAAAATAAGGTTCAAATTTAGCTAAAGGCCGTAGTGTAAGTTTGAATTGAGTCACGTTTGATACCCAAATACATACGTTGAACGTGAACTTGATACGGACATAAACTGTGGAATTTTGAATGTCAGCCTGACGTGTATTGCAGCAGCACGTAGGACTGCAAGTTGCACAGCGTCTGTTCATTTAACACGCCATATGTGCATGGAGTATAAATCATCAAAGGCTTGGGAATAACATGCCACTTTAATTTCTTGGTTAACGGATTCGCCCGCTTCATTTTTTGCTGATTTGCAAAAAAAAAAAATCAGAATCAACTGCAAAATGCTCATTTTGCCCTGAACAGTTAAAAACAGCCCTTTTCTTCCTAGTTGTTACTGTACAGTTATTCCATCTTTTAATGCAGCAGTCACTGTGGTATCATTAAAAGTTCAAAATTCATTGTTTAAATTTTGAACTAGCCTAGTGTGTTGACTTCATGGCTCCTATCGTACCATTTCTGGCCATAATAGGATGTCTAGGCCTGTTTTTATTTTTTTTTATTTTTTCTGCCCGCCTGCTCATTATTTTTCCAGAAAAATCCGTTAACCAAGAAATTAAATTGGTGTGGCCTTAGTCTCAATATAAAATGATCCAAGCCCCCTGTGTTGTTTTATATTAATAAACACAGACTCTAGAAGGCCAAAGGCTGTTGGGCCATACCACTTTAACACTGTGGTTCTCAGACAGTAACTGTTTTAATTGAAGTTTATTGCAAATTCATGCCCGGGGGGCTAATTGCAGATTACAAACATAAAAGAACAATGAAACGTAGTATAAAATAACTAAAATCTACATGATGAAAGGTAGTTGTCTAGAGCTATAGCTATGTCTTAAACTATGTCTAAGGGGTTTGACTTCTCTTTTTTAGACTATGGAAGACGTAATGTCCCACCTTTTCTAAAATTAGTGGGTTTTGGGAAGTTAAAAGAAGAATAGTTTTTTCTTGGTCTGTAAGTTTAGTAAAATTGGGATAAATTATAGAAGTTTGAATAGTTAACTCATTTCGAGCGTTGCTATGAAAGGAACAATTTGAGATAAAGTGTATTTCGTCTTCCACAGCCTTTGCATTACAATATTTACAAATTCTTTCACATACAGGTAGCCTTCTATACCGGCCTCTCTCTATCTCCAAAGGGTGGGCGCTAACTCTAATTTTGCTAATGGCTGAGCGCAGTTCGAAGTCTGCAAGATTAAGATATCGCTCTGTGTTGTACATAGTTTTACATTTTGCATAAAATCTTAACTTACCACTATCAGTTGACATAGTATGAAAAAATGTTTGTATATGCATATCTGTAAGTCTCCTTTTCAGCATTTTCACAACATGTTCAGGATCATAATGTGAGTTTTCGGAATGCCACAGAAAGGAGTATCCATTGTGATCTAATATGTCTTTAACACGTTGAAGTTAAGTTCGTCTACGGGTATTTATCGGAAGGCTTTGTTGTAAGAGGATTGCATCCCTTTGAAGGGGGTGTGAAGTTGTATCTAATTGGATCAGGCGTAACCAGAATTTAACTACATATATACAAATATCTATATCTAAAGGGAATCTACCTAATTCTGCTCTACATGCGACATTGCTACTATTTCTAAAAACACCGAGAACATTTTTACAGAACTGGTTGTGTACATTTTCGATAGGTGAGGTATCATGTTGCTGTTCAGTCCCCCATATTTGACATCCATACAATAAAATCGGTTTTACACATGTGTCAAAAATCTTTAGGAGGCTACGTGGTAAGACTGATGAACGGATAATAGATTTGAAACTATAAATGGCTTTGCGTGCCTTCAGTGATAGCTGCTTTTTAGTTAGGGTGAAGCTACCTGATGATGTAAGGGTTAGGCCTAAATAGCAGTAGGAAGTAACGTTGTCTATTGTATTGTTTTCAAAGTAGAACTTTTGCTTTGGAAATGAACGACCTGCTTTGTTAAAAATAACAACTTTAGTTTTTTCAAATTTACTTGGAGTTTCCATTTGTCGCAGAAGTTACTTAATCTATCTATGGCCGATTGTAGACCTTTGTCTGATTCTGAAAGTATTACAACATCATCGGCATACAATAAACAAGAGACATATAGATTATATAAAGAAGGTGGCATACATTCTGAATTATCTAACTCTTTCACTAAGTCATTAATAAATAAATTAAAAAGGGTGGGGCTCAAGTTACACCCCTGTCGGACACCTTTGTCTGTCACAAATGGCGGTGTAAGGCCAGATTTTGTTTTGACGCAAGTTTCTGGTTTACAATATAAGCATTTGATTAATTTATAGAAATTCCCCCCTATTCCCGAATTTAGTAATTTGAAACGGAGACCTTCTCTCCAGACAGTGTCAAATGCCTTTCTAAAATCTATGAAACATGAGTAAAGGCGTTTGTTGTTATGGAAATATTTTGTAATTAGCGAGTCTAAAACAAATATTAGCAAGAAGGAATAAACTATAAAGGACATTTTAAATGCATCGAATGCAATTTCAGGATGGCAAAACTGGCTGCATCTAGCTATTTCTTGGGGGTACCTATAAACTAAAGGATTCCTTACTTAGGCCACACCAATTTAATTTGTTGGTTCTCGGATTTTTTCAGAAAAAATATGAAGCGACAGGGCGAAAAAAAATGAAAATAAAAACAGGTCTAGGCATCCTATTATAGGCTTAAATGCTATGGAATTAGCCATGAAGTCAACACAAAAGGCTGGGTTAAAATTTAAACATTGAATTTTGAACTTTTAATCAAACCACTGCAATGATAGATGGGAAAACTGTAACAACTAGGAAGAAAAGGACTTTCCTCAACTGTTGGGGGCAAAACATGAGCATTTTTTAGTTGATTCAGGACCAGAATCAAATTTTTTTTTTTTGCAAATCAGAAAAAAACGAAGAGGCGAATCCGAGAACCAACAAATTAAATTGGTGTGGCCTTACTTGTACTTGGACTCCTTAAATAAGAAATAATATGTAGCTATTTCAAATGCTTTAACTTAAGTATGAGATTATGACAAAATCTAGAAACATAACACACTTAATATATGATGTACATGTACTTTTATTAATTAAATGTAACAAGAAGCCATAGGCGACAATTCTCCGTGAAGTATTGCAACAAAAAGAAGTAGCCATTGGCGACAATTCTCTGTGAAGTGTGATAAATCGAACAAAGAAAAATTGTTTAAACGCGCGTCGGCTCAGTCATCTTAAGACGCAACAACCAATCAGAGATGTGAAATGCCGACACGTGACGTGGGATTTTCATACAGTCTAAACAACGGGGAAGGGCGCGCGATGCCTGAAAAAATTTTTGCGTCAATATTCAGCGCCGTGTTTCAAGAGATTAATACCCGGAAACAATTTCTTTTCTTGTTTTGAATGCATAAACATGCATTTACGCTAATCTAGTATGATTCAGGGTTACTTTTTTAACCTGCCATGGCCAGATTATCTAAAGATGTGTGTATTGTGTGTACAATCTACAGAAAGAGAAATGTACATCAGGTCCGATCATCCGATTTTCACGTTTCGGTTTTTTGGACTCGGTTCATGAACGTATTTTGGTTTGGCTCCTGGAATGTGCGAAAAATGACTCCCGGGACTGTCTACAGGGAACACTCGCACATTCGCGGTGTATCAGGACAGCGCGACTGGTCGGCATTAGCGCAGTCCCTGCAATTAGTAACAGTTGCACATCAATCCGGCCGAAAGCATGATTGTGTAACACAGGCTACTTCTTCATATACCGGCTCATACTACAAGACGCCTTTACAACTAGCAAATCATAAAATTACCCGATCTACTAGTATGTGCGGTTTACCAGCCCCACACCATCGTCCGACCACGAGGCAGAACACATTGATGGGTTGCTCAAAAATATTGTCCATGTTTACAAAGAGCTGCTCCACAATACACGCCGCCACTAGGTCGCCACAGCCGACCAGTTCGAAATCGATAGGATTACGTCATCGGTATTTACATTTCGTAATGCTGAACATTTCCGTCCCCATCACCCAACATAAACGGACGAAAACATTTCAAAGAAATGGGGATGTTTCGAAAATAAGCATTTACTCCAATATCAAAACAGCTACGGTAAAAATAAAAAGACGTGCATCATTCCGGACATAATGCCACACCACATGCGAAATTACACAGAAATGCGACGTACGGAAGAATGCGTTTTGGCTGCGAACATCTTCCAAAAAACTTGCCATCTCTTAACCATGGGCAAAAACATCTGGAACCACTTATCAAAACCACCCCGTATCTGCATGAAGTTCCACCCCCCCACTGCTATTCCAAACAACGCGTTTTTCTGGACCATTCCAATTCGCCTCGTAATTGTAGGGGTGCGTCTGCAATATTACATTGACCGCGAAAGCAGCAACGGCAAAAATACACATTCGTGCATCAACACAGGCATGCCCGCAGACGGCGTATAAAATTGCGTGCCGATTACACAAAGAGAACCCAGTGTTTTGACTGCGAACATGAAAAATCAGCCGATCACAACACTCCGTCCGGAGGTCCTGACCTCCTTCACGGAGTAATCAGGTGACTTATAATAATGTAATTCAGTGGTTTATTCATTCATTGTAATGTTATCCTTAATTTCTCAACTTAATCAAAATCCAAACACTCCCTGACAGGCAGTCTGTTCGCTGTGGGCAAGGGACAACAATCAAGTGTGGCGCCCCCTGTGGAAAGAAGCTGAACTGCAGGGTACATACTTGTGAGGATGTCTGCCATCCCGGAGACTGTCAGCCATGTGCTGTTCTAGTCACTCAAGGTACTGTAGAACCTTCATTCCATTTACTTATTAACTAATATCTTCTTCCACTGTTTAGAGTTAAAACTTTTGGTCCAGCACTTTTTAAGTTCTCTCACCTAGAGCTTTCGACCAGTCACTCTGGTCTTCCTTATAATTAGTAGACTGACCCAGTGAAGCTTGTCACGTGGCTTCTTTGAAGTGTGACGTCAACACTGGGTCAAAGGTATCTGGTAGACGATGTCAGTCCCCGTCACGGTTCAATGAAGGTTGATGGGCCCTGATGTATATGGCTTCCTTCACACCTTCTCAAGAAGTAGTCTTGTTCAGTGTCTAAAATCCTTACAGTGTCAAGTGAAACAAAGTGTCCGGGTGGATGTGTTGTGACACCTCTGAACTGGCAGAGCTAGGCCGTGTATGTTCTTGGGATCTGACTTAAGTTTTAACTTTTTAACTCTAAACAATGCATGTAACTCAGATGAACTTTCATGATACTAGTAGTATCTGCCACTGTTATTATACTCTTGATCTCAATTATACACATCACAAGATTGAATAGTCCTATTATGGAACACAGCAGATTCATAGAATTTTCATTAATTATGCAAATTTAATGATCCTGAATTTCATAATTGTCATCTACTCATGTCAAGCATCACTTCAGCTACGTACACAATAAAAATAAATTAAATGATAATCTATCTTGGTTCTTGAGTTATCCTCCTTAAAAGATTTTTTCAACAAATCCCTCTGCAGTTCTAGTGCAGTCTGCTAGGGGGCTTAAACTCACCCAAAAATTCTCTCCATTTGTGACCTTAGCTTGTGCAGATCATGAAATATCAAAAGAGAAGTTTCACTAGTACAATTATACTAGTAAAATATATATTTTACAGGCCACCAGGTGGCCCAAACTCTATTTTTTCTTGGTCTCTTCTAGACCTACCCACGTACCAAAATATTTGTGACCTTAGCTTGTGCAGATCACGAAATATCAAAAGAGAAGTTTCACTAGAGTATATATTTTACAGGCCACCAGGTGGCCCAAAATCTATTATTTATTGGTCTCTTCAAGACCTACCCACTTACCAAATATCAAGACAATCCATCTACATGTATTGTAAGCACATGCGCGCACACACACACACAAATCATACAGAAAACATACTTGACACAGGAAATACAGGGAGTGTTCTGACCCCTGACAGAGAGATCTGGATGTTTCCTAGTTTAGAGTTCATATTTCTCTCCATCAGTAAGGACCACCCACTGACACTGTATGTGTCAAATTGACCTTGACATGGCACTTACAAACCTAAACACTCGTGTGTATCCAGCGTATCCAAAACATCCAGCCTGAACCACGTACATCAATGTAGTATGTACAAGATGATGTGTGTTCTTTCCGTGCGCGGCCTGATTACTCCCCTTCCCTGTATATACTGTATGTCAGTAACCTCTGCCTCGCGCTGACAATTTCTGCAGCTATTCTAAGCAGCGGATCTGTTGTCGGTTCCATTTTTGCTGTGGTTGATAGATGGTGGAGAGGTCACCTTGTCAGCAATGTCATCGTTTGTCTCAGCTCTGTGCAGCTGTCCACTGGGGTATATCTATGTCTCAAGTTTAATTCATGGTTTAGGCCACACCAATTTAATTTGTTGCTTCTCGGATTCGACCTGTCCATTTTTTTTCTGATTTGCAAAAAAAAAAAAATTTTGGTTCTAAATTAACTGCAAAATGCTCAATGAAAGACATATTTTGGCCCCAATGCTTGAAGAAAGTCCTTTCTTCCTGGTTCTTTAAGTGTTTCCAATGTAACAATGCAATTTTGTTTCATAAACAGTTCAAAATCTAAAAACTTATTGATTATAAACCAACCTAGTATATGTTTCCTTCATGGCTCATATCGTAACATTTCCGGCTATCATGAGGTGCCTTCGCCTGTTTTTCTTCTTCCCTGCCGCTTCATATTTTTTCTGAAAAAATCTGAGAAACAACAAATTAAATTGGCATGGCCTTAGGATCGTACTTGCTTACTGGTAGCTTTCTGTAGTGGCCAATTAAGAATGACCCAGAAATCCCCAGATTAACCCGAAATGTTTTTTGTATCATATTCAGGATATGTGTACCTGTGGTTTGCTGTATACAATGTACATGTACATTGTACGTTTACCCACATTTTACAGAGTTTGAAGCAAGACATCAGACATGTAATAGATTTAATCTATAATAATTATGCAAAATTTAATCTACATTGAAATAGTTACTTAAGGGTTAGTCAGAGCTCAAAGTCAAAGGTGGTCCAAATTGGCTACTGACCACTAAAATTTAGGCTGAGACAACTAAAAAGACACTTTGGGACAACAGAAAAATAATTCACATCAGAATGTCAGCCCTTCTTTTGTTTATCAGGCACACATCCTGGCTTTTGGATCCAGAAAAGTCCCCCCGAATTTCCTGTCAACTCTGTGAACATAAGCATTATGATAATAAAGTTGACTTAAAGTTGAAGTCATACAACACTTCCCAAAAAACAGGTCGGGACAATTTAATTATCACTTTCGGACAATTGAAATTTATTTTCGCGACAGTGCTGGGACAATAAAGGAAGAAAATTTTTTTCCGCGAAAACTTTGAAAATTAATTTTTTTGTGTTGCATGATGTTTACCCTTACATGTATTCCCCAGGGCATGCATGAGTTGGAAGGACTAGGCTGACTCTCCAAGTGTCTAGGATTTATATAGCTGGAACAGTAGACTCAAACTACATGCCATATGGGGCTCGTTAACCAAGTAAACCTCCACTAATGCCAAGTTTAAAGTCTTATGAAGGGAGACAAGCTTAATAGCATGAGATTGCTTGAACTGCCACTGGTGGATTACTTAACTCTTGAGAGTTGTTCTAATCATGGACCTAATGTATGTACATGTATGTGTGGGCAAAGGCTTCTTAGATTTTCTTCTATCCCATAACCAAATTATACAAACAAATGTGACAACAATCTTTTCATTTTGATCTACCATACTGTTAAAAGCATTGAATGCAATTTTGAGGTGGCAAAAAAGGTAGAATACTTTGTCTATCATTTACTAGCTTTTCTTAGCACATTGTTTCATCATTTCATACTCCCAAAAACAAGCTAAGTTACTTAATTTATTTTTTGGTACAACAAATATTAAATATACTTGCATGTTGTAGCTAAAACCAGCCTATAATATAGAACAAGCAACCATTTTCTGGCAGTGATATCACATTTTTGCTTTATCAATATGCTATGTAATACTATTATATAATGATATGGTGGATTCAACTTGCTTCATCTTATTAAGATTAAGCAGAAAATTGACTTTGAAAATCCACTTTTGCCACCGCGAAATTGCAAATGGACGGCTTTAACAGTATAGTACATCAAAATGAGAAATACAATATAATATGGTCAGTTTTATTTGCTGTATTGTTTACTATATTATTATTATAATAGACAGAATTTGGTAACTTGATTCAGTTATGATCCCACTAGTACTGACCACAGGCTTGACCTTTCACCAGCAGGTCTTGGAATAGAACTGGACATAAATCTGAGACCATTCCTGTATGACATACATGACATTGTATGTATCTGTGGGTGAAGGATAGGCCTGGTCAGTCCTCAGTTTAAAGTCATTGCACAGTGGTGTGTGTTGCATTGTGATACAAAATCATATACCTGCAAATAACATTTGATACACACTCAGCAGGGTTCTGACTAGGATTTTTTCACATCATAGGAGTGAAGGGTACAGATGGACAAATTTCACGGCGCAAGTAGCGCATTGAGCAGAAAAAAATTGAAACTCATAACCCCCTGAGACACTATTTCTTGTTTATTGAGGGTCAGATTTTGTGAATTTTATGCAAGATTTATGAAGGTTCCCCCCCCCCCAAAAACACCCCTATAGATATACATGTATATGCTGCTTGAAAGACAGCATAGGGGTTCAAATCACAGCATATACATGTAGGAGGTCCAGATTACAGCATAGGGGGCCCCTATGTTCAAAAGTCCTGGCGAGAACACTATACATTGTTCCAGGCCATGTGATACTATTTGGTTATCACACGGGCTTCCAAATATTGTAAAATTTGAACGCGTTTCACTCATTCTGAGTTTGCCACTTTCGAAGATTGAAATACAGAATTCGGACATTGGAATTGGTGTTAACACACTTTTTTTGGTTAAATGTCCCGTTTTCTCGGGTGGGTAAGACATAAATGTTGTATAAAATACAACATTTTTTTCCTATTTCCACTGTCGATGTAACGTTGACTTTACAAAATATTTCATTATAAGTTTTAGGATCCTGTCAGATACATGATTGTGTACATTGTGGGCAAGTTTTGTCTCAGACAATGCAGTGTCTTTTTAAGGAAAACCTGGTCTTTGCATGGGACCCACTTTGGGTCAATGGATGCAGTCTACCTGCATATCTGTTTTGTCTTGTTGCTTTGTATTTTGTATAAGAAAACCACTTGTCAAAGAAGACCATTTTTCCTTGGTCCCCATCAAGATGGTCATCTTAGACAAGTCTGTTACCCAAAACTGTTAACCAGTATTGTGCTTTGTCCCAAAAAGCTTGTTTTACAATGAACGATGTTGTTTGTGCAGGTTGTTACTGTGGCAGGGTAGAGAGAGAAGTAACATGTGGCAGTCAGGAGTGGACAGGGCAGAACGTGGATGGTGAAGTTTGTAGCTTTTCCTGTGAAGATACATGTGGAAGGTATAAAGAATACTTTATTTTTTATTCACAACCAGTGCTCCTCTCACCTTGACCCTAAAACTAGTATTAAAAACCCTTTGAGTACTCTAGCTGACATTTTAGAAAACAGCAGTTCTCTTTGGATTAGGCAATGTTCTCTGATCTCTTGCAGTCACTTACAATTCTCTTTTTTGCAACTGTTTTCTTACATAATTTTCCATTGTCTCTTTCAAAATCACCTGTGAAAACATGGCTGCCAAGTTGTTGTTTTTAAGTCATTGTTAGTGTTAGACGCCAATCCCCATTTAATTTTTTTTCATTCAAAATAATTGATGGTATCTGAGGAGGTCCAATCTCAGTTACAGTAATGACAAATTCTTTGTTGCAGGGGAATGTGGTTGTGTCTACCCTTTTCAACAAGTAGTTTGTGTGACTGCACCGTGTACATACGTCAAAATACTGGACAGAATACTGTTGTCACTTTTAAAAAAATTCTTGAGCTCAAAAAATGCATGTGTGCAACACATTCCAAGCTTGACTGTTTTGTTGGCATTTGCATATAGGCCTCCTAGTTTTGAACTCTTCCTGCAGGTATGAAAATTGTTGTTTTCTCCCATCACCCTCAGAGCACTGCCTTGTGGACATCACAGCTGTGAGAGACTGTGCCACAGCGCCCCCTGTCCTCCATGTCCCAAACTGCCGTCTCAGGTCAAGTTCTGCTGCTGTGGACAGACCACTGTGGACAAGCTAGAGGAGCTGGGAGAAAACGGCAACCGCAAGTCCTGCCTGGACCCACTACCAACCTGTGGGAAAACCTGCAACAAGCCCATTGGCTGTGGATCTGATGGTAGGGCCACGCCAATTTAATTTGTTGTTTTTCAGATTTTTTCAGAAAAAATATGAAGCGACAGGGTGAAATAATAAAAAAAAGGCCAAGGGACCCCATGATAGCCAGAAACGTTACGATATGAGCCATGAAGTCAACATACCAGGCTGGTTTATAATCAAAACAATAGATTTTTTCAACTTTTAATGAAACAAAATTGCATTTTTGTTACATTGAAAACTTTAAAAACTAGGAAGAAATGGACTTTCTTCAACCGTTGGGGCCAAAATATGTCTTTCATTAAGCATTTTGCAGTTAATTTAGAACAACTTTTTTTTTGCAAATTGACAAGGCAATCCTGCTGCCACCCTGAACATACATTGTATAGTTTCTCAGACTGCAAACTTTTGCTACCGCAATCATAAAATGATTTGCAGTATTTTATATTCTTTCTTTATTCAAGACAGTGGTCATCATAGCAGCAGTAGATAACAAATTATGGACCGCTGAATTGTGTCAACCTTACATAGTACATGAAAATAGAATGTTCTGATGGTACAAACAAAACATACAGATTCACGACAATGACAATATGTACAACATATAGAAACTAATTCTGCATTTGACTGTAAACAGTTATAAAGTCTGATAGTGTGATGCAGAAATGAATTTTGCAGTCTGGAGGTTCTTGCCATGTCTTTGACAATTGTATAAATGTTGTATGTTTCGGGTTATCGTACAATAAATGCATTATATACATTATACACATTTAAATTTTTAAGTCATTTACACGTTGTACCTGTAGGAGGCTACAAATCAGTGACTCCAAGGCACAAGTGTTTAGTTTTGTACACAAACCATGACATGTAATTCTATGTATCCCCAGATGAGATTCACCTGTGCCAGAAGACGTGTCATACGGGGGAGTGTGGGCCCTGTCAGGGGACTACTAAACTCACCTGCAGGTGTGGATGGAAAACAGAGGTAGGGGGAAAGGCTTGTTAAATAAATTCAAATTCTTTGGGCTGCTAAGTACATACTTAGTAGTACCCATCAGAATGAATTACACAAAGCTCCACAGACTTGAAAGTTACAATTTCTCAATCTCTCTCTCTATACAAATACGGGTCTCTATCAATGAAGTAGAAAATTGATACTTTACTTACTTTATCCATCCACTTCTACCGTCTGGGGTGTCGTGGGGAGGTACAGTTGGCGGCTGACGGCGAGTCTGGAGGCTGTAGTAGAAAATTGATAAAGAATCTTAAAAAATACATTTGACTTTGGCTGAGATATCAATTATTTGACATTTCATAAAATGAGACTTTTATGTAATACAATTACAGTAATGGTACCGGTATACAATAATAATCATTTTGAATTATGTACTACGTGTAATCTAAACCAAGCTAACAAACTTAAAAGAAGATTTTGGGTGTACTGTATACTCTGTCATTGAATATACACTCAGTCTGTCATTTTTTTAATATTATAAAACTATGTGACATCATGTTTAGGAATTTCAATGTGTTCTCTATGTTCTTAGGAGCAACCGTGCAAAGATGTCAAAGGTCGAACAGGTAAGAATATCTGTTGGTGCATATTATCATACATTTGTACTCCATACATATTAAAATATATTCGTAATTGCCTGAAAATTCATGGTCAGCTATTTTGCTTTTTACTTTTGTCAAATTAAAGTGTCAAATTTTATCATAAAATATACATGATATACATACATATACCAAGTTACACAGCACATCAGCGAAACGTACTGCGCCTGCGCAGAACCCTGGATTTTTGTGGTTTTTGTCGGATTTTTGGTCAACATTGCATCAGAATTTGGCCTGTTGCAGACGATATATTTTCCGACATAACATTTAAAATCGACTGTCGGAATGCTAACCTTATATGAGCAAATACAACCTTATATGAGACGTTCTGCCAAAGTACAATACATTACAGGTTTTGCGCAGGTGCAGTACGTTCTGCTGACATACTAAGTTACACAGATGAGCTTTCATGCTAATACTTGTTGTTGCTGTCCATGTTTATTTGTAGTGGAAGACGTGTTCCTCTGTGACAAAAGGTGCAACAAGAAGAGGAAGTGTGGCCGGCACAAGTGTGGACAACTCTGCTGTGTGGTAAAGTCTTACTCAGTAAACACTTAAACCAGGGTTCCAAATCCCTACTCTCACACTTGCCCAAGTTATGTTTTCTGTAAGACTAGACTAAGTCTTATTTTAGCGTAGTGGCACTGGCCGCATGTCAAGGGAGCAAAGCGACCGGGAGGGGGGATGGGGTGGAAGGGGGATGTGTGGTGTGGAGCTTTCAAAAATTTGAGCTAAAAAGAGGCCATTTGAGGGATACCCAAAGGGAAAAATGTTATTTATGATGTATCCATGATTGGTAATTTTTCATTTTTCACATTTTGAACAAAGAAAAATACAGTCACAATGCCCCTACGCTGTATTGAAAATTGGCTTAGGGGGAGAAGTTTAGCGTAGGGGATCAAAATTATAGTGTAGGGGGCCCCTACACTACTTTGCGCTACCTCGAACCCTGGAGAAGTTAGGTTGCCCAGCATGAAAAGTGTCCTTTTCTCTCGTACAAAGTGAACATTTTAGAGCTTTCAGACTTAATTTTTGCAGCTCACGGCTTCTAAAATGCATTGTGTCCCCACTTGGCCTCCAGTAGACAGATGGCCTGGCTTATGGCTTTTAAGCAACAATAATAAACCAATCTACAAAATAAAGAGTCTGTGTTGGCGGCAACCTGAAATATTGCTGGGCAACCTAGCTTTCAGCTTCAGCTTCATTATAAGTGGACAACCTGAGAAAAAGATTCGAGGTATTTCGAACACTGCTTATAAACACTTAAGTAAGGCCACACCAATGTAATGTGTTGGCTCTAGAATTCAAGAAAGTTATCATGATGCTTATATATGTATTAGATAAGAACAAATTCTGAGGAGAAAGTCTGTTTGCAAACTTCTTTATGAGAAATTGACATGCACACAGATGTTCTCCATTTCCATGCATAATATACTTCAAAATTAGTCAAGTCAATGTAGCCTTACAAGAAAAACTAGAGCTTGAGTTGTGTGATGTTTCTGCACCCCTACAGGAGTTGGATCACACCTGTCCGTTTGTATGTGGGAGGAAGCTGGGCTGTGGGCTGCACAAGTGTGAACAACCCTGTCATCGGGGGAACTGTGAACCCTGCTGGCAGACTAGTGAGTCCTGCTACCTGTCTGTTCCTTTGTCTTGTTTCATGAATTGTTGCATAGTAGGTGTTATACTTTCTTTCCTATAACTATCACAGAGTGGAACTCACTGTCACCAAGTACAGTAGGGGCATTGTCATTAGATAGCTTTAAACAATGTCTAGAGTTAGATGTTCAAGGGTTAGGTGAAACAAGTCTATCGGTGTATTGTAGCCAGCTGCCGCCGCACCGCGTGCCTGCGAAGCTGGTGTGTTGCGCCGAAAGGTGGTTATACCGGCTATACAGATACAGATACAGAATGATACAAGAAATTGGATATTTGATCAGATATACAAAAAATGTTGCCTGTGTTCTACTTTGTTGAAATGAACTTGCTAGCTACATGTATTAATATCACTGTTGTTGTCAATCTAATATTTGATGAATTCCTCAGATATGTAATAACCATGTTCTCATAATCCTGGCCTTTCATTTACTTTCCGCAGTGCAAATTTGAAATACATCATTGATAGTGGAATGTGAGAATTTAGATGTCTTCAAATGAAAATTGAGTCTAAACATCTATTTAAACGTGTTATAGAAAAATCTAATGTAGTTTGTTTTGAGGTACATGTACCATACATGTATGTAATAAGTATGCTGTTCAGTCTATGACTTCAATGTGTTTAATATTTGATCAATGAACCTTCCTAACATGTAGGTTTTGAGGAGCTGTACTGCCACTGTGGAGCCTCAGTGTTGTTTCCCCCTGTACCGTGTGGCACACATCCTCCAGAATGTCACCGCATGTGTTCACGCCAACATGGCTGCAGTCATCCAGGTAAAACACACTGACATTTCACCAAGATGCACGAGGGAATTGTTACTAAAACAAGTGTCTAGATTTTAAAAACAGATAGTGTAAGATGTTTCAAGTGGCATCCACTTCTCATCATTGATGACTGGACCTCGAAAAGTAGTGTTAGTGTACTACATGAAACGTCTCAAAGTTTTCAAAATCTATCCAGTTGTTTCAGTAACAATTTTCTTGTACAAATGTATATCTCATTAAATGGATGTCTAACCTTCATTGAATGTTAGACAAGAGATGAAAACAAATTTGTATCAGCCTAGCGCCAGCCTTCTTAGTCAGACATCCAATGCAATTTCAGGGCAGCAAAATGAAAAAAATGTATGGATGAGGAAATCTGTCTTATATCTATTTGACACATTTACTTCAGCTGGTATTAGCACATCATTCCAAGTGCTATCGGTGAGTCAAATTTCTTTGAGTTGAAGAACAGCTAATAGTATCTGATTCAATTTTTCACTGTGTAAATTACCAACTCGGATGAACTATGATGCTAATGTCAGCTCGCTAATGTATGTAATGTATGTAATGTCCTGCAGTTCAGCACACCTGCCATAGTGATGACAAGTGTCCTCCCTGCACCTTCCTGGTACAGCGCAGGTGTATGGGGCAGCATGAGGTGAGATATACAGGATATACATGTATGTAAGGGGTCACTGTGGGTCATTCTGTGTTAATATAGAATACAACATGGGGTATTCCTTATTGCCCGAAGTATCGGCCCGTGTCGGATCACCTGAAGGCCAAGGGCGATCCGACTCGTGGGACGGCCAGGACCGAGGGCGATGCGGAATACACCACGTTGTATTTATGTCATACCCACCCAAGATAATGTGCCTTTCAATGCAAAATGAGCAAAAATTTTGTGTCCGTAAACCCCAAAAAAGCAACAACTTCAGTTCCAACGTACGAATTCTGTGTTCGAATTTTCAAAAGCCGTGCACACGGTTAGGGCGAAATGGGCTCAAATCGTTCTATGGGAGTCTTGAAAGCCTGGGCTGTACACGTAAAGAAGCCTGGGCTGTACCGTAAAGTACAGCCCGGTCCAAAACACCCGTATTGAACATTATCGCGGCCCAGGTATGACATAATATGTGGGGACAGAGTAAATACACTGTGTTGCTGTACATGTGGAGTATGTGAATGTTCATTGTGTTCCTAGGCAGAGGAGCATGATGATCATCTATTAACGATGTAAATATTATGCTTTTACGACAGAGATATTTTTCCGAACGAATGTACAAATGTACGAGAGTCAACACGGATAGATGCAGGACTCTTCTGTATACTTGGAAGTTGGATGAAGTTTGTGCAAATATGCAAGTGTCTGAGGAATTGTAATTTGACGTATCTTACAACAGTACTAGTTAGTCTTAAAAATGTACTCTCCAAGCAGAGGTTTCTGCTTAATTTTTACATATTGGTCATTTTTATCATTTTCTTTTCTTTGTACTGTCATCTTTTTAATGCCTTCTACTTATATTTCTTACTGTATTTAGACATTTTACCAGGCTCTCTTTTATACCGGTGTCTTTTTATGCCAGAGAATAAAGTTTCAAATATGAACAGATAACCAACTTGAAGGTACAGAATGGTACAGTAGCAGACCTATATGTACAGTGTCTGAACTGATGTAGATTGGAATTTCTTTTGCCACATGTATGTCTGTCGTTACTCCAGTTAAGGAACAATGTGCCTTGTCACATCAGTGACATCTCCTGTGGACGACACTGCAACAGACCTCTGCCCTGTGGTGTGCATCAGTGTCTTCGCATCTGCCATAAGGTGAGCTATTGTCTTACAGTGGCATCTGTGTGGTGTAGTGGATAGAGCATCCGACTGCCAAGCAAGGAGACCCAGGTTCAATCCCCAGGGTTGGACACAGACATGTCCAGACATGAACCCAGACATTGTGCCCTTGAGAAAGACACTTATTGTATTTCCCCCCTCATTTGCATGGATCCTGGGCCCTACTAGGGTTTGGGTTGGCGTTAGGAAGGGCATCCAGCCATAAAAATCTTGCTTCAACAAAAAGACTTGGTGCGAGCACATCTAACTCCGGGTTCTGGGGAAAATGATGTTAAAATTGGATCATTAAAAAAAATTGTCTTAAGTCCCTGTCACACATTCAGAACCTTCCCCCCGACCACCAACCAACCAAGGTTGGCTGAATTTTGGGAGCACTCTGAACAAATTTAGGCTACACTTACCATGAATTTGAGTTAAATTTGTCTCAAGTTTGATATCAAACATAAATTTCTTTACAAAGTAAGTTGTATTTACTCCATTGCAAATAAGTACCATATGATTCAGGAAGTGGAGGTGCTAAAATATGACACCCGTTACGAGTGTGTTTAAAAGCTTAACACAGCTGTCAGCCATGTTTGTTTAATCTCCGGTACAGCGTAGTTTGTGGTGGTGCCATAAATGTGTGGGCTGTTTTAGCATAGCTATAAATGTCAGAAATGTGTACATTTTGTAGATGGCAAGATAATCACTTGTCAGGTGCGATAACAACTGACTAAACTGCCAAGTGAGCGTAGCAAACAAGGTGGTTTATGAGGTGGTTGTCACACCTGACCAGGGATTATTCCACCATAATACTAGGTATAGACCAAGGATAATCAGGGCATTCAATGTTATAAAATTATGTATACTGGTGTGGTCCAAAAAGTGGTCGGTTATTCTAATAATTGACCCCTTTTGAGCTTACGGTCTGATAACTCATTGGAAATGGAGCCTTCTGATTGGTCGATACCTTCCTGCTATATGATAACACCCCTCCCCCCTTTAGGATGAGTGTGTGAGAGAAGATGAGCCCTGTCAGCAGCCCTGCAGTAAACCTCGGCAGGAGTGTGGACACCCATGTGGGGCACCCTGTCATCACAACACTCTCTGTCCCAGGGTACCATGCAGGGCAAAGGTCAGTGGTTGCTTATTTTTTTTTACCGCATTCAACTTGTTGGTTCAACTATTAATAAAAAAATACACGTGTGACTGCCCTCGTCAGTAGCTGAAGAAAGATGGCGGATGCAATCTTAAAGCTTCTACATTTTGTCAGTTGTGTGTTTCAGTTTATTATTAATAAGTCCTTCCTGTTACTATAAAATACACAGATTAAGGTGTCCTTTGTTCATATTGTGCTTGACCTGTCAAAAAGAACTAGGGGAACATCCACAAGCCTTTTACATGAGAAAGGTACACGATTTAAACAAGAAGTGCATAGCTTTTGCTTCCATTTTAACCAAGAAATGTGCCTTATTTGCATGACGTTTGACCATGACTTGCGCACATGTAGATTGGAATTCCAGTATACATTTACATGGACAACATGTTCAGTGCATGGACAACATGTACAGTTCATCACTAATATAACAGGGCTGGAAATACTGGGTGCATGTGCACCTTAGTGCATCTAAATTTGGAGCTGTGCACCCAATTTTTTTCTGTGTAGGTGCACCAGTGCACCCAAATATTTTCATAAGTATGTAAAATGTTAAATGTATAGTATATAGCATATTCTTATCATCTAAAAGTGTCAGTAAAATGATAAAAATTATTTAGTACTAGACACTAAGTACTTTTCTTTAGAAATGAATAATTATAGTTTTGCTGTCATTCTTATTTTATTTTAAATCTTTTGTGCACCCAATTTTGTCCACCAGTGCACCTATTCCAAAAAATGAATTTGGAGCACTGTATAAGATGTACAATTATGTGTAACTATATTATGTTAAACAGCTGTGTATTTGTACTGACCAGTGATGTTTGTGGTTGTTCTGTGTTGTTAGGTGACTGTGAGGTGCAAGTGTGGATTGAGGAGTGAAAAAGTACAGTGTAGTGAGACCCAGCTAGAACATGCCTTCCAAAGGTCGGACTTCTACATTTTAAACACTACTTGTTATATGCAAATGATATGGTAGCCATTGTTTTATTGTAGCCCCTGCGATAGGTAAAAAGGTAAATTGTATACTTGAAACAAATTAAATCAACTCTATTGCTCAACAACTGTAACTGGTTCAATGTAGAAGAAACAACAGGAGTAGATTTTTTTGTAATTTTTAGGCCACACCAATTTAATTTCTTGGTTAACGGATTTTTCTAGAAAAATAATGGAGCGGGCGGGCGAAAAATAAATAAAAATAAAAACAGACCTAGGCATCGTATTATGGCCCGAAATGGTACGATAGGAGCCATGAAGTCAACACACCAGGCTGGTTCAAAATTTTAACAATGAATTTTGAACTTTTAATGATACCACTGCATTGAAAGATGGAATATTTATAATAACTGTAACAACTAGGATGAAAAAGATTGTTTTCAACTGTTCAGGGCAAAATATGAGCATTTTGCAGTTGATTCTGGATTTTTATTTTTATTTGCAAATCAGAAAAAAATGAAGCGGCGAATCCGTTAACCAAGAAATTAAATTGGTGTGGCCTTATCTTGTTTTTTATTTTTGGTTCAGCTGTACAAAAGACAGCCTGGCTTGCCCAACTACATATACATGCAGTTACAAGACTATTTTAAAGGGCAATTCCTGGACTATGAACTAACTATACTAAAATACAATTCTATCAGAGGTGATCCATACTAGCTATACTAAATAATTATTATCAATTTTACCAAAGCTAATCTATTGCATGTTTTTTTAGGAGAGTGTTAACTTACATTTCATAATTCAATGTGTGTTATTTACAACTTGAATATGGTGTAGCTTTTCTGACAATTTGGATAATTTTCCAACGTACTCTGATATTTGCTTGAAAGGAGCATATTGAAGGTATCTGGTTTTAGATAGGGCAATGCAACATTAGTTTTGGAAGCAATGGAATGTATTTTTCATTTTTTTTGTTTTCTTCATATGTTGGACATGACATCAGAAAGTGGAAAACAGCAATGGGGCAAGATTTTTGTTTTGTTTGAATAATATGTCTCTTACTCTTTGCTATACATGGTGTCGCAGTAGAACAGAAGATATGATTACACTCCTTTTTAAATCTTTTAAAAGCCACACCAATTTAATTTGTCTCTCAGATTTTTTCAGAAAAAAAAAATGACGCGATGGGGCGAAATTAAAAAACAAACAAACAGGCAAAGGCACCCGTGATAGCCAGAAATGTTACAATTTGAGCCATGAAGTCAACATACCAGGCTGGTTTGTAATCAAAATAGGTTTTGAACTTTTAATGAAATGAAGATGCATTGTTACATTGAAAAACTTTAACAACTAGGAAGAAGATGACTTTCTTCAACCGTTTGGGCAAAAATACGTCTTTCATAAAGATTGAGCATTTTGCAGTTGATTTAAAACCAACTTTTTTTTTTTTGCAAATCAGAAAAAATGGACAGGGCGAATACGAGAAACAACAAATTAAATTGGTGTGGCCATAGATTACCATATCTGAATGCTCCACATTTAAAGTTAAACCCTTGAAGTTTTATAATTGTTCCAGACTGACCACGTCCACCTTGGCCACACGATGGGGAGACATGCAGGCTGGACAGTCAGTGGACATCAGTGCCTTAGTCAAGATGGGCAAGGACGGCAAGAAAATCTTGGAGTGAGTTGACCTCAGTCTCCCATAGTTTATTAAGTAGGACCCTTATATAATATATAAGGGTCCTACTTAATAAACTATGGGAGACTATATTATATATAGTTCCACCTGTGTGTATGGGCCATAGTATCATGTCGGGAGAATGTATATTATGTACTTTGCCTGCCAAAACCTATAAAATCATTCTTTAGCAGAATGTTTTGTTTAAGGTGTTATGCATGAATTTAAGGATGGCATGTTGCCTGTATAGTTTACAAATGTTGTGTCTGAAAAGATATCCTCTGCAACAGACAAAATTTGATGCAACGTTGACCAAACATCCAACAAAGAACATGAAAAATCCAAGTTTATAGTTACTGTAGATTTTCCTTATTTGATGTTCGTCTCCACATTTTATTTGTGGGTTATCTAATACCAGTCACCACTGCCTTGATAACCTGTGTATTGATCTGTTGTCATTGCCAATAAAGAAAGAAAGTTTCGCACATGCGCAGTACGTTGTTACAACGTGTTGGCTGTAGTCAGGTAAATGATGTATGATTATCATGTTGCTTGGAATAGTCTTCACTTGTATCACAATCATTGTAACACAGTACCTTACCTTTCTATTTAGACTGGACTGTAATGAAGAGTGTGCAGTATATGAGCGAAACAAGTAAGAGTGTTAATTGTCATCTCTTTAATGTAGGTTTGTTTTACACATGGACTTTCCAAGGTAGAAACATCAATAACCATCACAGTTAGAAGTTCATGTACTTGTATCTTCATAAGCAATACAGCATAATCCTGTAATGCATGTTTTTATTAAAAAATAAGTTTATGGAGATTTATGCATAAATAAAACAGGATTTTATAATGTTTGCAAAACTGTACAATGTCACATAATAGATAAGATATGCTTTATTATAATGAAAATATTGCAATGTTTTTAGGGACTGTTTGTAATTGTTAATTAAAAAGTATGTGCAAGACACATGAGAAGCCTACTAGTAGATAGTGAAAGAATTATAGTTTCATTATTTTGGACCAGTTGTAACTTTTGCTGTTGAAGTACTGAACAATTTGCTTTTACTCCAACAGGAGATTGGCCTCAGCTCTGCAGATAGAGAACCCAGATGCAGCGTCCAAGCTGGGACCACCTCCGTACACAGAATTTCTCAAGGAACAGGCCAGGTTATCAACATTTTCACAGTTTTCTCTTAACTTAAAAGCATAACAGTCTACAAATATTTGTTTTCTGTATCATTCTGTATAGCTGGAAAAATTGTTCATGTTTTCACTTTTGACTCAGTGACTGTCCATGGTGCTGAAATACTGGACACTGGTTGGTTCTAGTGCTGAAATACTTAGTTCTGATTGGTTCTAGTGCTGAACTACTTAGTTCTGTTTGGTTCTAGTGCTGAAATACTTAGTTCTAATTGGTTCTAGTGCTGAAATACTTAGTGCTGATTGGTTCTAGTGCTGAAATACTTAGTGCTGATTGGTTCTAGTGCTGAAATACTTAGTGCTGATTGGTTCTAGTGCTGAAATACTTAGTCCTGATTGGTTCTAGTGCTGAAATACTTAGTGCTGATTGGTTCTAGTGCTGAAATACTGAGTGCTGCTTGGTTCTAGTGCTGAAATACATAGTGCTGATTGGTTCTAGTGCTGAAATACTTAGTCCTGATTGGTTCTAGTGCTGAAATACTTAGTCCTGATTGGTTCTAGTGCTGAAATACTTAGTGCTGATTGGTTCTAGTGCTGAAATACTTAGTCCTGATTGGTTCTAGTGCTGAACTTACTTAGTTCTGTTTGGTTCTAGTGCTGAAATACTTAGTTCTAATTGGTTCTAGTGCTGAAATACTTAGTGCTGATTGGTTCCAGTGGTGAAATACTTAGTGCTGATTGGTTCTAGTGCTGAAATACTTAGTGCTGATTGGTTCTAGTGCTGAAATACTTAGTGCTGATTGGTTCTAGTGCTGAAATACTTAGTCCTGATTGGTTCTAGTGCTAAAATACTTAGTGCTGATTGGTTCTAGTAGTGAAATACTTTGAGTTAGTGCTGATTGGTTCTAGTGCTGAAATACTTTGAGTTAGTGCTGATTGGTTCTAGTGCTGAAAGAACGAGTGCTGATTGGTTACAGTGCTCACTGGTTTTCTATTGCCTAAAACCATTGTGTGTTGGGCTATGCTATCAGTAGATTGAAGCAAGTAGACTGGATAGAATTAACTTCCAGTTATTAACTCTGTGAAAACGTAGTACAAGTTATTTATAAGTTTTCAAACTATATTATGTTATTTATTTATTGGTAATAAAATGTAGACCCTTTTAAAAAGGTTGTGGAATTATAACTGTGTGTACAAATACTAGTAGATCTAGTGACATAATGATATGTTGTAAGAATCATGTAGTATGATCTCCAGTTTTGTCAGGATGTAGAGAAGAACTAAAAGAAGTAATATGTTTTTTTCATTGATGCAGTAAAAACAAGAGCCTCGTGTCATCAGTTGAGGTTGCCCTGACTAAACTGGTTCAGACTGCAAAAGAGGTGAGACTTCCCATTTGGTGTTTGAAATTTATTTGAATGTATAATGTGATTTTTCCACAACTGTCATGTAAGTCACAATTTAAAAGTAAAAAAATGAAGTCACAATTTAAGATTTAAAAAATGATAACCGATGCATAAGGCTCAAAGCAAAAACCCGTGTAACAGTGAGGTTGAAGTGCACAAACCGGCCAGTTTAACTTGTCCGAACCTTTTAGCCTTGCGGTTTGTGCATTGTGTTTATGAGCAGGTTGAATTCCCAGTAGCCAGGAGACTGTACTACACTCACTTTATCATGTTTTAGTGGTTCTCACAGTGGGAATCGAACTCAGACCACGGCAGCTCATATGATAATATACAAAGGGAAGAGTTGTACAGTCTCCCTCTCCTGGAACTCGAACCCAGGCTGAACCCGGGCCGCCAGCTCTCAAACCAAGCACACTAATCGCAAGGCTAAAAGGTCCAGATCGGTTAGACTTTGACTTGAGCCCCATTGTTACACCATCTAAATCTGGTTTATCGTCTGTTGTTCCCCATTTTCCGAGGGTTAGACATACTTGCACACTGGTGCTGCATGAGGCTTGATTTTGGATGAGGCCACACCAATTTAATTTCTTGGTTAACGAATTTGCCCGCTTCATTTTTTCTGATTCCCAAAAAAAATTCATATTTTGCCCTGAACAGTTGAAAACTGTTACAGTCCTTTTCTTCCTAGTCGTAACAGTTATTCCATCTTTCAATGCTGTGGTATCATTAAAAGGTCAAAATTCATTGTTTAAATTTTGAACCAGCCTGCTGTGGGCCATAATAGGATGCCTAGGCCTGTTTTTATTCTTTATTTTTACGCCTGCCTGCTCTATTATTTTTCTAGAAAAATCCGAAGAAATTAAATTGGTGTCACCCATATGGTGGTGGAAGTCCTAACTTATGTTGTCCATCCGTCTGTTCCTTGGATGCTCTCATGGGTTTTGGCTTTCCACATGTTACACCTGTTTTAATCTTAAAATATCTTCTTTGATTTCATTTTAGTCCAAGCAGAAGAGTCGTAGCCACCCTTTCCCTCCGATGAAGCGTGAAGACAGGCGGGTGATCCATGAGCTGGCAGAGTTCTATGGTGTTGAAGTCATCAGCTATGATGTAGAACCCAAGAGGAACTGTGTGGCCACAGCTTACAGGTGGGAAAATGTCTAAGAACTAGAAAGGCTGACATTTGCTCGGAGCAAATACAGCATATTTCAGTCCATTTAATCCCTCCCCATTCAAAAGTGATCTGTACCATATCAACCTTTTTCATCCAGCATCAAGTGTTTCAACAACCCCTATATATTAGTTCCCAAGAATAAGTTAGTAGAATATTCTCCAATCACAGTGACTGTTTTTGAAAGGTAGAAACATGTACCTCCATATTTTCAATGTCAACTGTACATCTTGATCACGGAGTGACCTAGTGAGAACACGAGACTAGGTGGAGACTTGTGCGGATCTTCTGGCCTCCCCCGCCTCCAACCTTTGTTACGATTCATCCTGGCACGTTCCAACTGGATTTGGACTGCTTCCTTTATCTTTCTATGGGCTTTACGGGATTCTTGGTCTATGATTCTTGGTACGTGTTTCTACCTTTCAAAAACAGTCACTGATTGAAGAATATATTCTACTTACTGGTAATTTTACGTGACAGATTAACCTCTTCAATTGTGTTTGTAAGAATTGTTCTTGAAACCCCCAAACAATACATGTACAAAGTCATGTACATGTATCTGCACCGGACAAGTTTTTCCAGACGAGTGAAGGAAGTATGGATCATACTTTTGGTTCTATGTAACATTGTGCCTTTTGTATTTATATTGTGTGTCAAAAAGGAAAAAAATTGCAAGAAATGTTTTGGGCAGCTAACAAGCATTTCCTGAATACTAAGATGGCTTTTTGCACCCTGTTTTTTTGCTTACTGGAGATATTCCTGTCATTGTTTTTCCAGGGATCGATGCTGGTTACCATCTGCCTCCCTGATCAGTGTGGTGGAGAGGGAATCAAACCCCAAACCTCCCCCACCCATACCTCACCATATCACTGACAAAGGAGCAATAGCAAAGTAGGTATCTTCTATTCTGTTTTTAAAAAAGGCTTTGATGTTAAAAATCATTTTATTCAATGAGCTACCAACCTGATAAAACTATTCACAGGTGTGAAATGAAATGATAATTACTGCAAACTTTATTATCATCAGTGATAATGTACATAATAACTGATTGTTTCAATCTTTTACATTATACATATAGTGTGGTCTGGCTTTTTCAAAATGTTGTAACACATGATACTGTATAATAATTAAATTTAATTACATTCTCAGGGGAGATAACCAATACAGTACTCAAATAGGAAAATACATTAAAGAATGTTTCAATCTTAGAGACTACATGTTAGAGAATAGTTAAACCTTTATCATTACCACTGAATTCTGTATGTAATTTGCCACATACATTGTACATACTATAGGATGAAGTTATGCATACATATATTTAACTTTGTTAGACCTTCAGTTGTAGAAGGTCCCTGTACTTTTTGTTGTGTCATTAAAGAATCATAATTGATTGTAAAATGCATAAAAATTGACAGATCATACAATTGCCATCCTACAACAATAACAACATTGGGTCATGCAGTGCCAGGTTTCCCTTACAGTCAACATTAAACAGTTGAAAGAAACTGCAATACCTTACATTTTTTTACATGAATGCACATAATAATAAACATTAAAATTACATTATCATATAGCCGGGTGACGTTGACCAATCAGAAGGCTCCATTCCACATTCTTTATGTCGCCGTAATGTCACAAATAGAGTCAAAATCGGGTATTTATTCATCCCAATCCATACATTGAACAAAATGAATAATCACCCGCATATGACCTCAGGTGACCCAATAGAACATGGCTCTAGTTCTAAAAAATCCAAAAATAACTTGAGTTGTGTTGCGATGACCTCGGGTGACTCCCATAAGAACACCTATTCCTTGCCTGTGACCCAGTTAGAAGGCCATAGAACATGAACCCCCCAGTGACCTCAGGTGACTCCAGATGGAACAAATATTCTATGTTCTATTCAGCATGTGCAAGGAGTAAATTGTACATTGTGTCACTCTTCACTGCATCAGTTTGGATAGGCTATCGCGTAAGCTATATGATAATAGCGTTAATGGCCCGCCCTTTCTTGGTGAATATGGTGTGATAAAGCCTTGTCAGTTGCTATAACCACCTCATAAAGCCACCTTGTTCGCTGCGCTCACTTGGTGGCTTTATTCGGTGGTTATAGCAACTGATGCATATTCACCTCGGGGCGGGACATTAACCCTTAAGTAATCATCGCAATGACAATACCAAAAATTAAATGTAGTTTTTATTGCCTTCCTTGTTATGATTTTTTTTGTGACACATTTCAGGTCTTCTCACCACACAGTTATCCCAGCAAAGAATGCCTGGGGAGGGCCCAGCAAGGAGCCTGATGTGGAGGTCATAGATTACTTTGACATGGACTAGGAACATGAGACTAAGAAGAGGAAAGGACTAAAATCAGGCCCTAAGCAGGAGATACAGGCTATGTCTATGAATTGTTCTTTTCAATGTCTTTTTTTGATGACCATTTAAGACCTGCAAGACACTAATAATTACATTGTACACATATATACATTTGTCATCAATTGTTGTGTAATGTTGTGTAATATCAGCACAGAGACAAACTAGACAACTACTGTCCTACTGTCAGTGATAACAAAGAAAGAAAATCATGAGAAAGGAACACAGTTACAAAGTTTTAAAATAGCAGATGCCCCCTGCTACAATAGAAAAATGAAATAAATGTAAAATCAACACATATCCTGATGCAATGAAACTTGGAAATAGAAAATGTAATACGTGAAAAAACTATGTTTCTTGTAAGAGTATAAATAATAGAGCCTTCAGTTAACAGGTGATATAACAGACTTTTCTCTGTATCAGAGCACACTAATTTAGTTTTTTTTTGTTTTTCAGTATTTTTCAGAATAAACGTTAAGCAACAGGGAAAAAACAGGCCTATGCATTCTACATGAAGGATAGCCCCAAATGTTTTGAAATGAGCCGAAACAGGCTGTTTCATGAATCAAACAATGAATTTTGAACTAATTTTCAAACACAACAGTTACTGCATTCAAAAATTTGATAAATGGGCTTATTTTTTTCCTACTATTGTACAATGTAGTAACAACTAGAATAAGAAGACAATAAATTTCTTGAACTGTTGGAGCTAAAATATCAGCATTTTGGACATGATTCAAGATGGACCATGAGTTTCGCCCTGATTTGCAAGTCAGAAAAAATGAAGAGGGCATTGTTTAAATTGTTGTGGCCTTAGCTATGATAGTATGAATATACATTGTAAGAAAAATGCAATAAAATAGTTCATATTAAGTTTGAAAATCTTTGTGAACATATATGCCACTACATGTAGTATGTATTTTTCATAGATAATGGAAATGCTTGCAATAATAGGTAAGGCCATGTTGATTTGATTATATGGATGACATCCTCTGGGAACCCCAAAATTGATGCAAGCGTGCGAATAAAAAAAAAGTTTGGCTAAAAAAAAGTTGTTTTCATTATGAACTCTACGTGGTTTTGAAGGTTGAACGGAGTATGGTTTGGCGAATAATCTAGTCTTCAAATTCATTTCTTTACATTTTCGTCTTTTTTGGTTTGATTTAAGACAGTGGTATCATTTTTTGCAACTTACGGTATGTCTTTGCTCATTTTGCAACTGTTTTGTTCGATTTACAGTATGGTTGAAAACTTTTTTTTTTTGGAAACGGCCGAAAATTCATGCGCGCGGGGATGTCATCCATATAATCAAATCAACATGGCCTAATGGTAGGAAATAATGTTGAAAGCATTGATAGAGTGGAAGACTCCTACAAATAAGCACCATACAGCATATCCTTACATTTTGTTTTAGTTGTGACTGGTGAGGGGCTCATTCAAGTGGAATAGTTAAAGAGGCATTATGTAAAATTTTTGCACCAAAAATTAAAATGTTTAATTTAGAAATATTTGTTATAATAATACTTCTGATTTTCAACATATTTGTATAATTATCTCACATTTCTGACATTTATGGTTGGTGATAAAACAGCACACATGAGGCACACTCAGTTTGTGGTGCCACCAGAAAATACCAAAATGTAAACAAACATGGCTGACAGCTTTTAAACACACAAGGCATCATATTTTGGCACCTCCACTTCTGAATGGCACTTATTCGCAATGGAGTAGGGTTGATTCAACTTACTTTGTAAAAAATTGCCTGCTTGTATCATCTTAATGTATACATAATGCAACATTAAGGTACATGTACATGTATGGAGCCAACTGTGTAATACGTGATCAACACCAGTAAAATCAAAGCAGGACATGTAGAGAGATTACTGACCTATGGATTGTTAACTTGTATTAATGGACTGTTGACAATAGCCTTTTCATTATCACATCCATTGTTAATGTAAGTTAGAATATAGGAGAAATGACAAGAACAGAACATTGCACATGGCATGGGCCTTTCCTTTTTTATGGAGATCACAGCTGACAATAAATTGAACTAACTGAACTTGGATTGTAACATGGCCTTGAGTGATTAGCGTTATTGGCTCAAAATCTGAAGGTTATGGGTCCGAATCCCTGATTAGAGACCCTGGTTTTGTGCACTTTGATGTAAAGTAAATGTATTATACAGGAGCTCCACAACCTCCTATATATATATATATATATATATAGAGAGAGAGAGAGAGAGAGAGAGAGAGAGAGAGAATACAGGTAGGCTTCGAGTAGAAAGACGGGGTCCATCTCTGTTTTATCCGTGTCTGTGCCCAGAGGCAGGGTTTCTTTTTTCAATTCAAGGCTACGGCATGTTAATTTTATAGAAGACATCCTCCGCAGACTTCAAAGCAAAGGCGAGCGGAAGAAAAAAAAAAGATGGGCCAAAAAAACATTCCTATATTTTCACATTTTTACATCATAAATCTTGTTAAACAAGAAATGATACCTATATTATGCTAAGCTTACTGACAACTATTACAACATCCATTTCTCACTGAAACAAATTTGAAAAATTAAAGTAATCAAATATTGTATTTTTTTCATTTAGTGGGAACATCACATATGCACAGCCACTATCACATATATAAAATGAATGAAATAACATTAATGCATCAAAGTAAAAGACAAAAAAAATACAATGTAAATCAGAGCCTTGTCTCCCTTTATATTTATCTGCTATCCGCGTTCCAGCATGGCAACAGACATCTTTGCCCATGTTTCGCATGTTGACCACTGTCGGGGCAACACAATTTTTTTTTTCCAAAATGAGGCGAAAATTAATGCGCCCGCTAAAGTCATACATAAAAATTACTTGCTGTGGCCTAAGCTTCCATACACTACCAGAGGAGTCAGTTGTCGCCATGTCATACTCTCACGTGACGTTATCAGAGAACCAATCTACAAACCCCCTGTTTTTCTCATTTCAAGAGGAATTGGTCTGGGAGTTAGAATGTCAAAAAATTCGTAAAAGAAGAGAAGGGATCTTTTTGCCTGGCTTTACTCCATATGCATGTCCATGAACACAAAGGATATGTATGTATTCTGACGTCCATGCCTTTCCTTCAAATAGAAGTGACGTCCTCAAAAGAATTTGATCATTCATACGTATAGGAAGGCCTCAATAACCGGAATCATGATTGGGAGATTTCGTATCCAAGAACAAGATATATATTTTTCACAAATTCTATGTTCACTGAATGTTACGTTTGGGTGGCAATGTTATATGTAACTTGATTCAGTACGAACCATCAACATGTAAGACCAACTGACGGTTAGCCTCAGTAGGATCAGTTGACAAATCACAACCGTTACTGGGGCAGGAAAAGTGATACTTTTTCCCAGTATAACCATTGTATACACCAACCTGGAAAGAAACAGACAACAACATCAACACAAAAGCATTATGAATAAGTTGAAAATTTGACAGAGATGAGTTCCAAAGTAAGAAGAGATAACAAATAAGTAGTTCATATATAGTTTTACCCAGTCAAACATGAGCTTGTCGTCTCCTGATATTGTCAGTCGAAGTCGAGAGGGATCACCAAAGTTGAAAGCGGTAAAGCTTCGCTTGTACTCGGTCCTTTGAAGTTGTCCATGTAAGATGACAAAATCAAACATACATAAATATCAAAATCACACTCTTGTACCGATGTTCAAGGTGAACAGTTACAGGTGTTACAAATTTCATGGATGACATCCTCCGCAGACTCCAAATATATTTCGATAAGGCGAAAAAAGGCGGGGCCAAAAACAAGATTCCTACATTTTCAAATTTAGAAATCATAAACCTGTTTAAACAAGGATTTAGGCAACAAAACATGATATTACAATCAACAGGTGTTTGTCCTATATGATGTAATAATTAAAATGACTCATTCGGAAGCCAAATCTAACTAGCCTGCGTACCTTAGCGGCGAAAAAAAACAAACAATGGATGGTACCCAGGGTAAAAGTAACTGATATTTTGAACTTAAGGATACCGTAAATGACCTACATGATAAACCAATATGAACATAATGTGAACAGACTGATGTATCAATAATTTAATAACATCTATGTTGACTGCCCCTTATTACAACATCCAGTTGTTAGAAAAAATCTTTGAGTCTCCAATCATTGTACAAATGGTTTTGATCACATAAATGAAATATGATAATGCATCAAAATAAAATAAAAGACAAAAGAATGCATCAGAGCCTTGTTGGCAGGCTCGCCACTGTCATAAGACAATTTTTTAATCAGCTAAAATTAATGCGCGTGCTGATATCATTCATGAAGATTATAGATCCAAGAGAATAAAAAAAAATCTGCAAGTTGAGTTTGCATAAGCGTACACGTCTCATCAAAGTTTAATGTTCTTAAGAAAGACGTAACATCGACACTAAAAAAAACAGCCATGTACAGGATACACGTATCTGATATTACCTACCCGACTTTTGTAAGTCCGGATACTGTTTCTGTCATGCAGACGTCATCACAAACATGAGAAAATATTTCAACTGTCAACGAATCACCACTGCCAGGATGGTCAGGAGTAGCGCTGGTCTTGAGCGTTAGGTAGTGATTCACTGTTTGATAAAACAACATACGGTCCGATTTTTATTGATTCAAAACCAACCAAAATTTAGCAACGGATTAACGGATCCATCTATTTATTACGCAGTAAATGTGTATTTTCCCTCCATGCAAACGCATATATGGAACGATTTAGAACTTCTCGGGGGTTATTTTAGGTGCATTTAGTTGGAATGGATCTGGGACACTTTCATTAAATAGCAATACATATCACAAAATATAGTTACAAAGTTTAAGCTTCAGTAACATCATGAAAAGAAACTTTTTACTAAGGCTTGTTTGAAGTTAAAACTTTTGGTCCAACACAAAATATTCTCTCTCCTAGAGCTTTCGACCAGTAACTCTGGTCTTCCTAGGTGAGAACTCTAGGTGAGAGAATATTTTGTGTTGGACCAAAAGCTTTAACTTTAAACATGTAACTACCAACACAGATGATCTTTCATTCAAATGCTACTAACATGAATAAAGAACCGTAACTCTCGTGAGATCACGTTGTGAAGTGATTGGTCATTAATCATCCTGATGAAGGCGACAGTGGTCGCTGAAAATTTGATCCCTGTACATATTGTGTGTTGGAATAAAGTTCAACCTTTCACTATGAATAAAGAACATTGTCTATCCGAAATAAAACAATGTTAACGGTGGAAAAGGACAAAAAGTCATGTCATTACAGTCAGTCCTTATTATGTTACATATTAGCTCAGGAGTCAGTGAATAACTACTGTAGAAAACAGTGCGAGAACATTGTGTAGAGAACGTAGAATTCCTACAAATGTTTATCATATGTTAATGTTTTTTGCTCGTTCACTGTCTTTTGAATCCTGTACCTGCATATTGACCATCGTGGCCACTTAACGTTTTGGTGATCCCTTATTGCTTAGTACTTGTCTCTCCCAAGCAACAGGATTGTTGTCTATATATAAATATATAGTGGTCACCTGTCTATTGTAACCATTTAATTCACTACACGCCCCCTGAATAGTCACTTTGGACAGGTTTGACTGCACTTCATACGTGAAGAATCTTGCATATTTATATAGTTTCGTTGGTAGTCACCCTGGTGGTCCCTTTTCCACCATTCACTTAGTCTTATATCAATCACCGACAGAGCTTGATACATGGTGAAAAATTGGATTGGGTGTCAAGGTAGTAGTAGATTATAGCGTGCCTTATAAGAAGCCCGCCTCTGAAGTGACGCACATACGGCGAAATTGCTGTTTCTTCTTTTACCGCAACGTTTTAAGCAACTTGTAAAACGTCCTTGTTTTAAGACAACAGTCTGAAGAAAAGCGTCTTGAAGTAGAGTCTCGATCTACACAAGTGATTATTCAATTATGTACTTCAGTTTTCGACTACTCTTCTTAGCATTTTAAGGTGTTCTAGTGGCAGCAATCTGCGCGAGATAGGATTGTTGAT